AAGTGGTACCTTGTATGTTACGAATCAAGTTATTGATCTGGAGGAATGACTGGAAAAATTAACGTGAAAAATCATTTTGCTATGTTATAATATAAGAAGCATTTATACAAATCCAAAAGACGTAAAGTTTTAGCAAATCATGCTTCTATTAACACTTATGACATAATTTGTATAACGGAAACTTGGCTTACAAATGATGCTTTAGAGGCGGAATTTTTTTTTGCCTCAGTTTCAGTGTTTTTGTGCAAACAGAAAGTTAGTAGAAAGCCAAACTACTTCACACGGTGGAACAATGTTTGTGTTAATTGAACATTTTTGGCAGAGCGGTTGAATATCGGCTATGAAGTAAACGGATCAATAATTGCATGTGTTGTATTCATGGGAAACGAAAAAGTTCTGCTGGTTACGTGTTATTAACCCTCTCCAACAGCAAGTATGCCTTTAAATCTAAGGATCTGCAAAACTCATTCAATTTTATCAAGAAAGCCAAAATAAAAGTAGATGACATTATTATGTGCGGAAATTTGAATTTTTCTTCACTAAATTGGAATACGCTTTAATCATGTCTACCGATTGAAACTGACTTCTTAAACCTAATGGAGCAAATCAACCTAGAGCAAAAAATAGACTTTTTTTACAGTAAGTACTGGAATTTTGGACTTAATGCTTGTAAACAATGGCATACAAGCACTTGGCATTTTAAAAGCAAACGTGGAACCTGAATTTTCAAATCTGTCGAACCGCTACCCCATCAAAATGAAGCTGAGTGTTGAAACGAAAAGATAAAAATTTTGCCCAGATGTGGTGTGTAGCTTTTGCAACGGTGATTATCAGAAGCTCGTTGAAACGTTGATCATTAGCAAATTTGAGCCTTATTAATGGTCCAATCTTGATAAAATAATTGAATTGTGGTATAAATGGCTTCAAAAGGCTTTACAAAAAACAATTTTCAAACGAACTGCTCATAGAGCGTTATTGCCTCCCTGGATAAATCAAAAATCGCCCACTATATTAAATGCGTGCAATTTGCAAGAAGAAAATATCCAGAAGCTCATACAAAGTAAAACTTTACAAGAATTGGTCAATACATCTATTTCTATGGACAAAAGTCAGTACGAAGATAAATAAGCACAGGAGAGATCAACCTCCAATCTTTTCAAATTATCTAAAGCCTTTGTAAAATCAAATTTACCACCCAAAATGTTTTAAAACGAATTCACTGCTTATTCTGACAAAGTTAAAGTAGATTTATTTGCAAAAGTCTTTTCTTCGGTTTATAGTAAATCAGTTCATTCGAGTTTCCTCGCAATTTGTCTGCTGATATGCCAGTTTTAAAAAAAAAAGCATCGAAACAAAAGAAGTAATAGAAATTTGTAAAAAAATAAATGTTAACAGAAGTAAAGGACCAGATGAATTACCACCTTTTTTGTTTCATAAACTCTGTATTTCTCTCTCCCCTTCTCTTACAAAATATATCGCAAAACTTTGCAAACCGGCGAATATCCAAAAACTTGGAAAGTTGCAACAGTGTCTGCGCTCCATAAAAAGAACGACAATTGCGATGTATCAAATTACCGCCTAGTGTCTCTTCTATCGATCCCTTCCCAAATTCTTGAACGGATTTTGTTCATTCGATTATACAACCACTATTCACAAATTCTACACAGCTCACTGTTTGGACTTAGAAGGAATCGATCGACGATTACTCAATTATTAACATTCCTTGAAAAAATGTATAATAGTATTAAAAATCAAAAGAAAATACAAGTTATGTTCACTGATTATAGCTAAGCTCTCGACCCCGTCAATCATGGTGTGCTCCTTAAAAAACTAGTTGAAACGAAACCGGTTTTAGAGGTAAATTACTAAATTCTCTGAAATCTTATGTAACGGATCGTAGCCAATTTGTTAGAGTTAACAACAAACAATTTTTTTTGGTAAATTAAAATAACAAGTGAGTTACCTCAGGGGAGCATTATTGCGCCATTATTTTTACTTGTTTTTGTGAATGATTTGCCTTCAAAATGCCATTGTCTTTTCCCTCTTATGTTTGCTGAAGATGCAAAATTTATAAGCATTGGAACAGAACCCAATTTAGTACATTAAGGTTTGAACGCACTTTTGAAATGGACTGAAACAAATCACAGGCCTTTCAACATGGATAAATGTGCGCATGTTTCTATCAACAGTAATGAAAAGATTTTTGATTTCGGAAATCACGTGATCTGTAACATTCGCCCAAATACTACACAGCGACGGAGCGTAGAAAAAGTACCTATTAACGACTGGCAGGCGTCAGTTACCTTAATTCTACTCGTTTTTCACCGTCTCGACCTTGCCAGTTGATTTTCTGGTCTGTTTAGGGCAAAGTAAAAAGTTACCATTTTTAGGCCATCAGTCAAACGACTTTTGATCAGCTTTCGTTTACATGCGAACACAACCACATAGCTGAGTCTCGGATCCTCAGACTACGTGGTTGTCATTAAGAACACGGCTCGAACAACCTATTTTAACATGTTTTTGTGTGACAATTCTATATTAAATCCATTGGAGATGGATTGACCCTTTCCTTTTTCTAGCTACTCATACTCTGAAATATTAAACAATAACGGTGTTAATTAAGATCTATGACATTCCAGCAGCTATAAATGTAACATTCGCCCGGAAGATACATATCGACGGATAACACAACTAAGTCTTAAGACGACTGGCTAGCGTCTAAACAGAGCTTTGCATGTTTTTCACCGTCTCTACCAAGCCAGTACTTTTCGGTGGTCTTTCTTACATCGGGTCGACAAAAACGTTACTGTTCTCCGGCTTCGACCAGAACGCTCAAATTAACTGAATTACATGCAAAAATAGTGAGCTCATGGCTGGGTCTCAGTATCCCCAGACCACGAGGTCACTCCTAAAAACAGGGCTACTATTTATTATATTACTATTGTTTTTGTTCAGTAGATAAAAATCATCATCTCCATCGAAGATGGATCAACCCTCCCCCCCCCCCCCCCCAACTCTTAGCACCTCATCCTTGTCAAAACTAATCCAAATATCAATTAAATTCAAGTCAGGACATGACAGGATGCTAAAAGTTCATACTAGTCAATAAAAGTTTTCCGTCCCGAGACCCTTCCGGATTCTTGAATCCAGTGAATCAAGCTCCTCAAGTTCGAATTCACGATAACACGGAGGGCTGATTTCTTACCCTTCACCGTTGTTCGCAACGGCCTTGCAACTATTGTAGCAGCACAATAGTTGCAACTCGGAACGTTCTCTGCACTCTGCTGCTGTTTTTCTTCAATTTCGACTTCTTCAATTTCGATCAAGTTGTTCTCGTCAGCGCAACCAATGTTGTTGTTCTGTTTTTTCACTCGTTTTTTGTTAAAAATGGCCGTTTCAGCATTTCTCAGAAATGTGACGTCATCATTCGAATTTTTGAAATTTTAAAACACTAGAATATTCCAGCCTTCACCGTTTGGCTAAACGTTCCAATAACGCCCTTAGTTCTTAAAAACCACCAATCCGGAAGGCTTACTGCTAAAATTCCGAATTCTGCAGAGATTGCATTTTTCACATTCTGGTCGAATGTCACAAAAGTTAGTTTATACAGTCCCTTCACATAGAACAGTCTCTGGGGGACCAAGCCTCCGCTCCCGTAATATTCTTGAGAAAACACTCTTATCTCTTATTTTTCGTGTCCCGGGAGGGTCCCGTGGTATATTTCTTCCCCCACTGAAGCCTCCTTTTCCACTAATTACCGTCGCTAAGTTTCTTATCGTGTGTTATTGCCACGATAAGAGGCTTCGTAATTCTCCTGTCTCTGGTACGACTGTTCTTCACAATATATGGCGTCGCTCTGCTTTCCCGTCTTTTTTAGTCAAAATGGCCGTCTTTTCTATTTCTCAGAAATGTTCACTCTTCAATTCTAGAACATTCTGACCCTCCTTCGCAACACTTTTTCGTTCATAAGGCCTTTAGTCGTTCTTTTTTACGTCGCCGGAAGGTTGTGCTGTGTCATCTGGCAGAATGGCACAATCGAAAAAGAGTTACTGCAATCAGATTTAGGTCCTATACTCTCGAGTGACCTTAAATGGGACCAACACATCGGAAAAGCCTGTAAGAAGGCAATGAAAGTTTTCTTCTTGATTAAACGAAACATTTCAAATATATATTGGACAACGAAGCTCAATCTGTATAAGTCAATGATAGTGCCAATATTAGTTTACGGAAGTCCTTGCTATGGTTGAGCAAAAACATCATGGGTATGTTAGAAAACGTACAGAAGCGCATCGTTAAGTAATATCACCAATTGGCGGAAGCTACAAAGCCTGTTTCGAGTTTTTGGGAATATTACGGCTCCCTATGTACATTCAAGTAAACATCCATTTGTTTTTGTCCCAACTGATTTTGGGTAGATATGATAGCGAACTAATTCACATGCCTTTCTAGTTCTACACAAATTCCTCGCGCTGTAATCTGTTTCAGCTGCAGAGACCAAGAAAAAGAATCTTGAAATAAAATTTCTTTTATCAGACATGCAGAGTAGCAAACTTTGTAAAAATTGATCTGCGTCAGAAAATAGACTGAGAAAATCGATATTACGTGTTTTCTGGAGAAGATTTGAGGAATAGGAAGAGTTGAATAAATGAACGTGGAGAGTTGGCTGTGACCGCTTGATAATTAACTGCAGAAACTAGACTAATCAGAAGAACTCGCAAACTGACTGGAGTGATAGCCCCTTGTGCTGACCAGCACAGAAGCACTACTACTAAAACGAATACTACTACTAACGCATACTTTTTCAGTTTTTTTTCCAGACAAGGTATGTGTCGAGGTTCTCTAAAAATCTAATTTCCATACAAAATTTTCTCAAACAAACAGATTGTTTTTTTGCTCTAATTGTGTCTGCTCTAAATTTTTGAGCTTTACTATGCAATTAGTTTTTAATCGATGATTTATAATGATTGTGTTTTTTCCCGTCGCTGTGTACTTTCAGGGCGAATGTTACATTGAGTATATGCGACGAGGTTAGGTCCCAAATCAAGCGAAATGGCCCGAAAGAAGAAGCGTGAGCGAAGGGATGGAAATATGAAACATATAAACTGTATGGAAACAGACGGCTTAGCTGCAGTCATTGATAAGCAGATAAATAATAAAATGCTCGGAGTTGTAGAGTTAAAAGATCCTCCTACTCAGATCAAAGAAATCGACTTTCTTAAGCAATTGAATATCGTCTCTACCTTCAGTACTGATTTTTTGGACTTCAGATCGCTCTACACAGACAAATCTAAATGTTTTAGAGAGGTGTCTCCAGACAAAGCACGCAACTGGTTTCCGACTAATGAATGGAATAGCTTGAAGAAATGGAATTTTTACTCAGCACATACAATGACCCATGGGCAAGTCAGAGTGCAACATGGGGGCCAACTGTTCCATTATCGCTGGGTGTTACGTAAGGGTGGAGATTCGTCGCTAGATATTTTAGGTTTGTATGTAACAAGTCCTATAAACTAGCAACTGTAGAGTTTCCGAGGAAGAAGAAACACTTAAATTACTAATTACTTCTACTACTACTATACACAATAGTCATTGCTTTTGTGCAATAACAGTGTAAAGTTAAGTTAGGTTCAAAGTCAGATTAACTGCGAAAACTAAGGTGTGTAATTGAAAACGAATTGTTCTTAATTGTGAAAACAAACCATGAAAATGCAAATACATTATGGATTTTCATGCCATGTATTTGTATGCTCCCATATAGGGTTAGATTGCATTTCAGAGGTGTGGAGCTGTGTTATTTTTTTTTGAACGTTTATGTGGTATTGTCAAATTTGCGTAATTTAACGGGCCAAGAATTTCATTTTATGACTTCAGATGAATAAAAAATTTTTTTTAGAGAAGCAGTTGAACAATGGTTATGAAATATGATTTGCTTAGTTCGCGTTGATTTATTCTATAGTTAGCTGTCGGTAGCCTCAATGCATTTGAAAAACTTTCCTTTTATTAGTTACAAGTAAGATATTGATATAGATATGTAACACATTTCAGCTCAATTCTGTTCTCTATTCCGATAAATGATTTACTTTTCCGGAGTGCGGCAGAAGATTTAAATTTTGATCTGAAAAATATGGGATTCAAAGTCCAGTTCAACTATTTTTCTAAGGACAGCATTGAAATTGCAGTAATTTGCTGCTTAATATACATTTAAACAATGAAATAAAGCAACCAAAGATAATGTTGGAAGTTGATGTCCAATAGTATCTATCGTTTTAATTCCTTGGGCCATTTTTTGTATTTTTTTGTTTGAATTTGAACTGACTGATTGCAATTAAGAATCAGACCTAAAGAGTTTTGGAACTGATTCAAAGCGTCATTTGAAGATAGGGATGATGCAAGTATCATACAGTCGTCAGCATATTGCACCAACGTACATACTTGAGATATTCGTGTCTGTATTTCATAGATATATGATTTGAACAACGGACAGAGTACCGTGCATTGTGACACACCTCTTTTAGGTTCAATCCAGTCAGAGAAAACTCCATTCACATTAACTCTTTGAAGACGTATTAAGAAAAATCTTAAATTAATGCATTTGCTTCAATTGAAAACCCAACTTACATTCATAAGAGCTTCATATATGAGCGCCTGACTGCATAGCATTTGAGCAGTGGCCAGTTGATTGCCTGTGTTTTGTTCGTGGCTTGTGTTAGAGAACATCGCGAGACAGCGGTACAGCTGTATGGACAATTGACTAAATCTGAATATTGACCATTCGAATCCTTTGGAGTGAAAATTTTGCACGTTTCGCTGAAATTTCAATTTTCTCAAAAACTACCGTTTTTCACAAAATAATAGCAATAGGAAAACCGGCTCCTAGGTGCCTGCATAATTCGTTAATCTCTTTTGACTTTACCCCACGTTCTACGGCCTTCGAAAGTTTCAGTTGGGGGATTTTTGGCCCAGTCGTTTTGCATTTTTTTTATTTTCTTAAATATTAATTGCACAAACTTGAGATCAAAAGTTTCAATCAAGAGAACAAATTATGGGAATCCCGCCTTTTCAAACGGCTATTCCCTAAATTTGGTAGAAAAAACTGATGGCCTCAAACAAGCCCATGTTTTGACATTTTGATTAATTTTTTAAAAACTTTTTTTACTTTTCTCAAAAACTACCCTGCCAAATCAGATTAAGGGCTTAACCAAAAGAAAAAAATCATTTATGCGAATCTACCCTGCGCAAGCGGCTACGCCCTGCGTATTGAAAATATATGGCCATAGAAAATTTCTGATGTTTTGCCCGTTTTTTGAATTTTTTTTCAGCAACTAACCTGCTGATTTTGAAGTTGATATATTGTTAAAACTAACTTTAGTGTTTAGATTTTCCCTGCGTAATCTGTTTTACCCTAATAATTTGTAGAAAAGTTGAGATGGACTTCGGAAAATTCCTTTTAAAATTTTGTCTCTTTTTTCGTAAACTACTAGGTTAATCTGATATTGAGGGTTCAATCTAAAAAAATCTAGCTGCGGAAATCTTCAATCTTAAAAAAGGGTTTTGAAAGCTGAGTTTATTCCCATGCTTTCGGAGAGAAAAGTTATTGGATTTAGGAAATCAATTTTTTGATCGATTTTTAAAATCGTTTATTTTTTTTTCGAAAACTACCCTGACAACTCTGAGAGAAAGACTTCAATTGAAAGAGTGAGCAGTAGTTTTCTCTTTTGAACAAGAGGTTAATCCACTACTTCAGCATAAATACTATACGGTTTAGCGTAAAGTACATTTTTTGAAAATTACGCATTTCCGTCCGTATCAGTACAATATATGCTTAGCTGGGTCACTAGTTTACTTCTAAGCGACCGTGGCACCGATGCGAGGGTGTGAGAATTCTGATCAACAGGTCGAATTTTCAAATCCGGAACATTTAAATAGTTTTTTTGGTCGAATTTTTGCTGCATAATATTGGCAATTTGATATAAACTGTAGCTGCTCTATTGATGGCTAGTGTTAGCACGGGAGTTGTATTCCAGTTGAGACCTGTTTTTTCGCAAATAGAAAATTTTGGCTGATTTCGATTATTATCTGTCGGCTTTTTTTGTCTGCTTAGTTCCACAGAAAGGACTTTTTTATACCATTCCCAAAGCTCTTTGTAGAGTTTCTAATGATGCAGGCAATTTTGTTCCGGGTATTTTGCAATTTTTATTAACAAAAACGATTTGGATTGATTTTTTTTCGTTTGATATTAATCATTGTCATTCATATCTTTTATCGGAAGTGGTGCGAAGCTCAACTTCGCCTCGTGTTTCAGTTTTTGCCTGTTTAGAGCTCTTTATGCATTTTCCTCGCATGTGTATGTTTGCGAAGCGCAGCTTTGCCTCTGTGTTACATTTACGATGACAAGTGTCTGAAAATCGGGAACCTCTTCGCTTGAAAGTTGAAATATGGTGCCTGACAATCTATACAATGAGGGAAACCCCTGCAAACACATAGATTAACGTTTTTAATTACGAAATGATCAATGAAAGACGCAGATTGGTTCTCTCAACATCAGCTCGAGTCCATTCGATTCTATTATATTTTTTTTCAGCGACAACATTTAAAAAAACATCAATTTTGATATCTTAACAGAATGTGTGGTATCGTTTCAGAACTTATCCTTAAGAAAGCTGTTCTTTCAAGTTATTCTTTCAAGAAAATGTTTTTTTTTCGTGGCTTCTTATAGATTTGCCAATTATGTTTAAAACTACAGACAAAGCCTCTCCGAAACTAATTTTAATCTCTGGGACTATTATTAACCCTCCCGCATTTGCATCATTGTTCCGCCTCTTAAGTATTCGCGAGAAACAGACTTTAATTTTTCCAATCTTCTAATAGATAAATTGAAGGATCATCTGCTTTATTTAACCCTGTCTCAGAAAGACAAATCATATCTGACAGGAACTCATTGCTAGTGCAGGCAGTGATTTAGTGCTTACAATTCAGTGAGTTAGTGATTCCAAGTCTTTAATATGTTCCTGTGAAGATCAAACATTTAAGTGTAACACAGCGACATCTTCGAGTCATTTAGGACTACCATAGAAAGAACCTCTTAGTTTTTGATGTATTAATGATAATGAAATGGGATTTAAGTGCTGTCTGGTTGTTGCGATGTCTGGAAAACACTGTGAAAACAATTCCAAATATTGAAGCGTTATCTCAGAGAATTGCCTCCTTCTTGTAATCCTTGGATTGGATAGTTCTTTGCCAATGATATAATATGATATCTCGTGTCCAAGTCGATTGTATCCTACCATCACTCTTCATCTGTTTCAAAACTTTGACCCTGGGCTGATTTAAATCTCCAAACACGCGGATACCGTCGAATTCTGAAATATTTGCCCTATTTTTTTTTGTTTTTCAACAACTTTTTCTACTTAATGGCTATCTAATTTTTGCTACGTTACCCAACCTAGACCATTTCATTATACTTAGTCTCACTCTTTTAGCAGAAGGAAATTCAACTATGCCAGACAGCGGTAAATTATGTCATTGAGTCATTTAGAAAGCCGAATTTTGTGATAATTTATTGAATAGTTTCAGAAAAAAGCTTTGCCCTGATATACGAGCATTATTGTTTTTGCAATCGCTGCTATTGGAAATCGCTGTATCGCTTTTGTATTGATCGCATTTCGACAACTAGTTTCACGCAAATCTCGCTTTTTTCATATGATAGTTTCCGGTTAGAAAATCATTTTTTTTTCAATCGTCGAATGATCTATCCGAATAATATTTGCTCACAGCAGATTAATCAAGTATGAGCTGGCAAGTTACGTTATCTGCCACATTTAGAGCAACTTATTCTATTTTGTTTCTTTGCTTTTCAGCGGACAAAGGTGACACTGTGCAAGAGGCGATGTGCGCAAGGCTGATTGCTTTTTGTATGGGCGAGAGGGCTCTAGCCAGGTTTCTGTTTGAGAATTACCTACACTTCATTTACAACGCTTCATTTTACTCAGCACATACAATGACCCATGGGCAAGTCAGAGTGCAACATGGGGGCCAACTGTTCCATTATCGCTGGGTGTTACGTAAAGGTGGAGATTCGTCGCTAGATATTTTAGGTTTGTATGTAACAAGTCCTATAAACTAGCAACTGTAGAGTTTTCAAGGAAGAAGAAACACTTAAATTACTAATTACTACTACTACTACTACTATACACAATAGTCATTGCTTTTGTGCAATAACAGTGTAAAGTTAAGTTAGGTTCAAAGTCAGATTAACTGCGAAAACTAAGGTGTGTAATTGAAAACGAATTGTTCTTAATTGTGAAAACTAACCATGAAAATGCAAATACATTAATGGAAATGGATTTTCATTCCATGTATTTCTATGCTCCCATATAGGGTTAGATTGCGTTTCAGAAATGTGGAGCTGTATTATTTTTTCTTGAACGTTTGTGTGGTATTGTCAAATTTGCGTAATTTAACGGGCCAAGAATTTCATTTTTTGACTTCAGATGAATAAAAAAATTTTTTTTTTAGAGAAGCAGTTGAACAATGGTTATGAAATATGATTTGCTTAGTTCGCGTTGATTTATTCTATAGTTAGCTGTCGTTAGCCTTAATGCATTTGAAAAACTTTCCTTTTATTAGTAACAAGTAAGATATTGATATAGATATGTAACACATTTCAGCTCAATTCTGTTCTCTATTCCGATAAATGATTTACTTTTCCGGAGTGCGGCGGAAGATTTAAATTTTGATCTGAAAAATATGGTATTCAAAGTCCAGTTCAACTTTTCTAAGGGCAGCATTGAAATTGCAGTAATTTGCTGCACAATATACATTTAAACAATGAAATAAAGCAACCAAAGATAATGTTGGAAGTTGATGTCCAATAGTATCTATCGTTTTAATTCCTTGGGCCATTTTTTGCATTTTTTGTTTGAAGTTGAACTGACTGATTGCAATTAAGAATCAGACCTAAAGAGTTTTGGAACTGATTCAAAGCGTCATTTGAAGATAAGGATGATGCAAGTATCATACAGTCGTCAGCATACTGCACCAACGTATATACTTGAGATATTCGTGTCTGTATATCATAGATATATGATTTGAACAACGGACCGAGTACCGTGCATTGTGACACACCTCTCTTAGGTTCAATCCAGTCGGAGAAAACTCCATTCACATTAACTCTTTGAAGACGTATTAAGAAAAATCTTAAATTAATGCATTTGCTTCAATTGAAAACCCAATTTAAATTCAGAAGAGCTTCATATATGAGCGCTTGACTGCATAGCATTTGAGCAGTGGCCAGTTGATTGCCTCTGTTTTATTCGTGGCTTGTGTTAGAGAACATCGCGAGACAGCGGTACAGCTGTATGGACAATTGACTAAATCTGAATATCGACCATTCGAATCCTTTGGAGTGAAAATTTTGCACGTTTCGCTGAAATTTCAATTTCCTCAAAAACTACCGTTTATCACAAAATAATAGCAATAGAAAAACCGGCTCCTAGGTGCCTGCATAATTCGTTAATCTCTTTTGACTTTACCCCACGTTCTAAGGCCTTCGAAAGTTTCAGTTGGGGGATTTTTGGCCCAGTCGTTTTGCATTTTTTCATTTTCTTAAATATTAATTGCACAAACTTGAGATCAAAGTTTCAATCAAGAGAACAAATTATGGGAATCCCGCCTTTTCAAACGGCTATTCCCTAAATTTGGTAGAAAAAACTGATGGCCTCAAACAAGCCCATGTTTTGACATTTTGATTAATTTTTTAAAAACTTTTTTTTTACTTTTCCCAAAAAAACTACCCTGCCAAATCAGATTAAGGGCTTAACCAAAAGAAAAAATTCATTTATGCGAATCTACCCTGCGCAAGCGGCTACACCCTGCGTATTGAAAATATATGGCCATAGAAAGTTTCTGATGTTTTGTCCGTTTTTTGAATTTTTTTTTCAGCAACTAACCTGCTGATTTTGAAGTTGTTATATTGTTAAAACTAACTTTAGTGTTTAGATTTTCCCTGCGTAATCTGTTTTACCCTAATATTATGTATAAAAGTTGAGATGGACTTCGGAAAATTCCTTTTAAAATTTTGTCTCTATTTTCGTAAACTACTAGGTTAATCTGATATTGAGGGTTCAATCTAAAAAATTCTAGCTGCGGAAATCTTCAATCTTAAAACAGGGTGTTGAAAGCTGAGTTTATTCCCATGCTTTCGTAGAGAAAAGTTATTGGATTTAGGAAAAGTCAATTTTTTGATCGATTTTTGAAATCGTTTATTTTTTTTCGAAAACTACCCTGACAACTCTGAGAGAAAGACTTCAATTGAAAGAGTGAGCAGTAGTTTTCTCTTTTGAACAAGAGGTTAATCCACTACTTCAGCATAAAATCTATACGGTTTAGCGTAAAGTACATTTTTTGAAAATTACGCATTTCCGTCCGTATCAATACAATATATGCTTAGCTGGGTCACTAGTTTACTTCTAAGCGACCGTGGCACCGATGCGAGGGTGTGAGAATTCTGATCAACAGGTCGAAATTTCAAATCCGGAACATTTAAATAGTTTTTTTTGGTCGAATTTTTGCTGCATAATAATGGCAATTTGATATAAACTGTAGCTGCTCTATTGGTGGCTAGTGTTAGCACGGGAGTTGTATTCCAGTTGAGACCTGTTTTTTCGCAAATAGAAAATTTTGGCTAATTTCGATTATTATCTGTCGGCTTTTTTTGTCTGCTTAGTTCCACAGAAAGGACTTTTTTATACCATTCCCAAAGCTCTTTGTAGAGTTTCTAATGATGCAGGCAATTTTGTTCCGGGTATTTTGCAATTTTTATTAACAAAAACGATTTGGATTGATTTTTTTCCGTTTGATATTAATCATTGTCATTCATATCTTTTATCGGAAGTGGTGCGAAGCTCAACTTCGCCTCGTGTTTCAGTTTTAGCCTGTTTAGAGCTCTTTATGCATTTTCCTCGCATGTGTATGTTTGCGAAGCGCAGCTTTGCCTCTGTGTTACATTTACGATGACAAGTGTCTGAAAATCGGGAACCGCTTCGCTTGAAAATTGAAATATGGTGCCTGACGATCTATACAATGAGGGAAACCCCTGCAAACACATAGATTAACGTTTTTAATTACGAAATGATCAATGAAAGACGCAGATTGGCTCTCTCAACACCAGGTCGAGTCCATTCGATTCTATTATATTTTTTTCAGTGACGACATATAAAAAAAAATCAATTTTGATATTTTAACAGAATGTGTGGTATCACTTCAGAACTTATCCTTAAGAAAACTGTCCTTTCAAGTTATTCTTTCTTTATTTTTTTCGTGGCTTCTTATAGATTTGCCAATTATGTTTAAGACTACAGACAAAGCCTCTCGGAAACTAATTGTAATCTCTGGGACTATTATTAACCCTCCCGCAGTTGCATCATTGTTCCGCCTCTTAAGTATTCGCGAGAAACAGACTTTAATTTTTCCAATCTTCTAATAGATAAATTGAAGGATCATCTGCTTTATTTAACCCTGTCTCAGAAAGACAAATCATATCTGACAGGGACTCATTGCTAGTGCAGGCAGTGAATTAGTGCTTACAATTCAATGAGCTAGTGATTCCAAGTCTTCAACGTGTTCCTGTGAAGATCATGCATTTAAGTGTAACACAGCGACATCTTCGAGTCATTTAGGACTACCATAGAAAGAACCCTTTTAGTTTTTGATGTATTAATGATAATGAAATGGGATTTAAGTGCTGTCTGGTTGTTGCGATGGCTGGAAAACACTGAAAACAATTCCAAATATTGAAGCGTTAGTTCAGAGCATGGCCTCCTTCTTGTAATCCTTGGATTGGATAGTTCTTTGCCAATGATATAATATGATACCTCGTGTCCAAGTCGATTGTATCCTACCATCACTCTTCATCTGTTTCAAAACTTTGACCCTGGGCTGATTTAAATCTCCAAACACGCGGATACCGTCGAATTCTGAAATATTTGCCCTATTTTTTTTTGTTTTTCGACAACTTTTTCTACTTAATGGCTATCTAATTTTTGCTACGTTACCCAACCTAGACCATTTCATTATACTTAGTCTCATTCTTTTAGCAGAAGGATTTTTAACTACGCCGGACAGTGTTAAAATAAGTCACTGAGTCACTTAGAAAGCCTAATTGTTGTGATAGTTTATTGAATAGTTTCAGAAAAAAGCTTTGCCCTGATATACGAGCATTTTTGTTTTTGCAATCGCTGCTATTGGAAATCGCTGTATCGCTTTTGTATTGATCGCATTTCGTTAAGTAGTTTCACGCAAATCTCGCTTTTTTCATATGAAAGTTTCTAGTTAGAAAAACATTTTTTTTTCAATCGTCGAATGATCTATCCGAATAATATTAGCTCAAAGCAGATCAATCAAGTATGTGCTGGCAAGTTACGTTATCTGCTGCATTCAGAGCAATTTAATCTATTTTGTTTCCTTGCTTTTCAGCGGACAAAGGTGACACTGTACAAGAGGCGATGTGCGCAAGGCTGATTGCTTTTTGTATGGGCGAGAGGGCTCTAGCCAGGTTTCTGTTTGAGAATTATCTACACTTCATTTACAAAGTGGCGAAGAAAAAAAGAAATCCAATCCTTCTGTATGAGCCACCACAGAATATACATCAGCTCATTCAAAAGGTAGTTCAAAGTCATAAGAAGTGAGCGGTTACGTAGCAAAAGTTAAAGTGGTCATAAAGTAGACATAATCAAGAGAAGAAAACAAACGTATGGAAGAAATCAAAACAATTATTTATTTCGCACGTTTAATGATCTCAGTTCTGATGTGTCGACTTTATGATCTGTCTATTTCAAAGTGAGCAACTCAGAAATGAAACATGAGTGACCTATTTTGCTCTGGAAGTTGCGCAGAACGTTAAAAACACAGATAGGTTGAAAACTTAGCAGAAAACGTATTTGAACCAACTGCAAATGATCGAAGTGAGTTTTCGTTTTACTCAATTAGGCGGTGTCTTTATTTGTCACGCCGTTTTTTATTACCCTTGCGATAAGCAAGGGTATTGCAATCGGGTACTAGGCCTTTTTTCCGTATATAACTTTGTTACATCTCCTGGACTCATTCATCTGCCGCGCCTCACTGTTACAAAAGACATATTTTGAGCATTTTAGTAGCGTTTTAAATATCCGACCTAATCAACGTTTGTTTTGTATGTTGGTGGCTGTAATTTTACTAACTCGATTTGTCGTTTGTATATGGTTCAATAAGGTTAGGATTACTTAATATCGACATATTGCGTTGTTCTGATGAATTCTGGAGGAAAGGGCGTTAAGAGTTTCAGCTCTGGTGTTTTTGGCTTTGCAAGTTTAATCAGCCATCCGAAGACTAACACAACCTCTTGAGACAGCGAAGGCTTGTGGTTCGAATCCAGCCGGGACCTGTTTTTTTTTTTGCAAACTAAAAGTTTTTATGCTTTTCTGACTATCGACCGTCTTTTTATTTTTGTCGGCTTAGTTACCTAGCCCGATTTTTTTCAGGGTTCAGCTCTCTTCGAAGTTGGCTGTAACACCCATGCATGACGAAATATCCCGGGATTTCTAGTACATCATTTTTGCAAGCTGAAAATTTAGATTATTTTTTTGTCTGCTGTTTGTTGTCGGCTATGTCCCGATGAAAAGATTGTGTAAATGAAAATTCGGCTTCTCTTTTTTGCATTCCTAAAGCTCCTTAAATTTTCTAATGGTGCAGGTAATTTTGGTGACTTTGTTCCGGATATTTTGGGCTTTGATTGCAATTTTTTTTAAAAAAATTTGAATTTAATTAATTAATCTCTTTATTGTTCCGACTTTCGATACGAAAGTAACGGAATATTTGTGCTCGGGGTGGGTTTTTTTGCTTCAGACAATTTTCGACTTTTTAACTAGCCATTTTTGACGGAATTTTTTAAATATCATTCGAAAGCCATCGTTGTCCTGAGCTTAAATTTGAAAAGATATTTCACCTGTGATCATTTTTCGTAAAGTTAAGTGGGTTTAAAGATTTCCATTTTGGTCATTTTGACCAATTTGGGACAATTAACGCGCGATATAATTCGCGCTATTAACGCGTAAGCGGAGATTTAATCCGTCTTAGCAATCGTTCCAAATTGGTTGAAAGAAGCTTCTTTGCCGTAATTGATTTTTTACAAGGAGAGAAATGGAGTGCAGCCTGTATTTAGACAACCGCGTATTCATACTCGTCGGTATTTAGACAAATACTGTATGAACCAATCAGAATCGAGAAAAGACATAAATAATCCAAAATAAGTAATTATTATTTTTTAATTTCTTCTTTGTCTCGATTCTGATTGGTTGAAACAGTATTTGTCTAAATACTGACGAGTCTGAATACGCGGTTGTCTAAATACTGTTATGTAACCGAGTGAAATCTATTGTTTTGTATTTTATATGATGGCGTGTGAGGGGATGATTTTCATAGAAAAATTTTCAATAGAATTTTTTTTTCATTTTATTTTGTTTCATTTAATTTTTTTATGTTGTTTATGTTATTACTGCTCCACAAACGTTAAAAGGCAGTCGGAACTTTCAGTGCTTTGCCCAGATACGAGCAATCTTGTTTTGTTTTGCGTTTTATATTAATCATAGTCTCTGTAAGTAGTTTGAAGTCGCCTTGTAATTTCTAAATTTAGCAATCCTGATCTTCCATTAATTCATTTTTGATAGTTTTTGTTTTTGCTTTCGAATGGTTCCGGCTCATATAACAGCAGCCTTATTGCGTCGTCGGATTGAGGTAGGTTGGGTCGTGAAGGCTACAGCGTTCCAAATGTTTTGGCTCATTTTTTTATTACCATTTTGTTTTTGGCTCAACGGGCGTCCACTCATTAAACAATTCTGAATGCTTATTTGACCTTGCAAACAAATCTACCATCCTTTCAGCAGTTTTCAGTTCAAGTTTGTTTTAGATAGTTTTTATTTATTTTGAAAAATTTCTTGAAAAGTCAATTTTTTTGGTTCCCTGATTTTTCATACAAGTTTCGGTCGTTTCGTTTTCCGCTTTTTTATAAGCTATTTAATTAATCTGGTACGGTTTTTCATCGGCGTACTTTTGACATATGGTTTTTTTTTGGTTTAAACAGTGCTTACTATAATTGAAAGTTCAGTTATTTGAAATTTATCCTGTCTGATTTGGAATATTTTTTTTTGTTCGGCAGTTTTGTTTCATGTTAAATCGACTTAGTCGTTTTTTTTTGCGTAATTTTGAGGGCAAAATTTATCCTTATGCGATTAAAAGTTTTTGTAGGTGTAGTTTTTTTGACGTTTTTCAAGTTACCTTTTCAGAATTGTTCATTTACTAACACTTGCGAGTTTTTTATTGCTTTAAAACTTGCGATACAAATAAATAGCGTCACAAGAACGAATGTTATTATGCAAAAAAGACAAAGTATCGCAAGTTTAAGAAGCTCTTTTTTGCTTTTTCGTTGATTTACGCTCCCCTCTAATATTCTATCTAGCACTGCTATGGTCTTGTATCGCAAGTGATGCGAAGCTTTGCTTCAACGCAGTGTTAAATTTGTGATATTTTGATGACATTTTAAATTCTAGGGACACCTACATAAGCAGCCCAAACCTCAACTGAGCAGCGAATATGGTTCAGATGTTGAAATTCGCAAACCCAAATCGTGCAGCGTGGAAGAGTTAGTCAATTTTACTTATAAATCTTTTTTTTTTGAGTTTATGTGCTGGCGTTTATGTTTATAAAAGATTGCGTTACATTTGTGAAATTTATAAAATTCTTCTTTTATCCAATTTTAAAAATGGCAAATTCATTTAAGACCGGATTTTTTCCTTTAAAAGAGTTTAAAAAACGTTTGTTTTCTACTGACAATTACTTTTGCATGATGCATTTTTTCAAAGGCTTCTCAACTTCAAAGGCAGGAAGAAACGCAAAGCTAGCGAGCTGTGTGTAAATACAGAGTTGCAAACTATAGGAGAATCGAAAACTGATGATAATCCACCGTCTAATTTGCAGAAACCACAAGATGCCCTGTTGCACTTAGGAGGCTCAGATGTGATTGAAAATATTCTTATTACTCGCATAAAATTGCGAGAGAGTTCAGAAGAAGACTCAAATGAAGATGAGAGTGAAGACGACGAAGAACTCGACGAAGTCGATGAAGAGAGAAATCAAGAAAAGGAAAGGAGAGACGATAATGAACCTGAGATCAAAAAAGAAGTGGATGTCTGTCTAGAACAGGGAATCGAGCGAGAACCGGTTCAAGAGGAAATGAAATTGGAATATCTGTACGAAGCGATACTTTCTATCGCAAACAATAACTGTCTCTACAAAGCATATGGTGAGAAGTACTCGTAATTTTTTACATTTTTCTGTGTCCCATAGGATCTAGAATCAGTACTTTTTTTTTACAAAATAGCTGAAGATGGTGTTATAAAGAAAGTGTCCCGGGTTAACTTCTTTTCATACAAATTCATATAATTTCCATAAGGAAAGTTCTATGGAATCTCTATGATAAACAATTTTTCATACATGAAAAATGTACGCATATCATTTTTGCATAAATCGAAAGTTAATTGTCAGTAGTTTTTTCTGTTCAGTTTTCAGGTAGCTGCATGTGATCGTATTGGAGTTGCGTATAGGTCAAAAGGTGAACCAAGCTTCAATTACACCGATCCTAGCGTTATTCTTCTTAGTATGCGCTCGCATCAAATGAACCGAAAGAAGTGTTTCAAACTACATAGCAATAATGAGAACTCGATTTCAGAAATTTTCTAAGTCAATATATCTCGCAATTTATACATATATGCGTTGCGATTTTTTACATGCGAACTTAGTGCGGATGCATTCTGTTTGTTATAAGCCAAATTATTACTAGTTTTAGTATTAGTTTAAGTTCCTTTCTTCTGTTCAAAGGAAGGTAAACTCGACTATCGATCAGCGAAAAAAACGTGGTCTTCTAATTCGAAAATGGAATTTAATTTTCAGGTTTCCCAGCGAAATAAAAAAAAATTACCTATTGATCCAGTTTTTTCAAATTGGCTTAACTTTATGGAAAATGGGTATCCTAAATTGTTCTAAAAATTCAAAGAGCTTAAAGGGCATCCTTTTTTGAAATTCGAAAGTTGAGTTTTTTCATAATAGAAGCCAGTATTTTTTTGTTTAATAGCGTTCATTGAATCTTTTCCAATTATCTGATGGCTAGATTTTCTATTTTAATTTTTTTGATTGTTTCGCTTCATTATAAAATCGTTCCATATGTTCGAAAAATCGGAAAGATTCATTTGTTTTTTTTTCTTGATTTCGTTGAGCTCAATTCTTGTCGACCAGATTCTCAGATGATTATTTTCTAATAGTTATGAATTTTTAGATTGAGTAACTAAGCTGGTCACTCTTTGAAATCCAGTTTAATTTGGATCGATCAACCTAAGATAAAACGTAACTGAAATAGGCATAAATGTGGGATATTGAAGTTGTAATAAAATTTAATTTTATTTTTCAGCTAGCTGCCAGGAGTTGGCGATCGAAACAGCTGCTTCAGTTGTGATAAAGAGAATATTTGATAGGGAGAATTGGGCCGAATTACTCCTCCAAAGATACATGAATTATCTCAATTCAACCCAATCGAGTAAAATTCCCAGGCCACAGTTATTTTCGAGAGTGCAGAAACCACATGAAGCTGCTGTAGAAGAGCAAGTTGCTGGACCCAAAGTTCAAATCACAAAAAAACGTCTTCCGTGCCCCCTTGTGGAATTGATAACAGCTTGCTCAGCATTCGAGCCTAAAACCAGGCATGAGACTTGGCTCAGAGAAAATTCAGAGGTGACATGCTTATTTACACAGGGAAATGCTAAATAATTTGAGTTGGCTTTTAAACATTACTAGCATAAATTGGTGCTCAGCATAAGTGCTCATTTTCCTAATCGGCATACTGCTCATGTGTTTTATCGGCTTTATTGTTCGCTGGTGTTTAGAAGACAGAAAGAGCATATGGCAGAATACATTTAGGACTGAATCATCACTGAGTCTTAAATAGTTGAGACACAAAGCAGTAATTTTGTAGCTATGATCTTATAATCATGCAGAGGGAAATTCGTTTTCTTAGCTGATTTACTTTTGCATTTTCATGCCGCTTCATAGCTCCCTTTTTCCATTTTTTGCTCGTGTTTGCGAAGTGCAGTTTCTCGGTGTATTATTTTGCGTTTTTCATTTGCTTAGGGTTTATTAGGGCTTATTATCTCGTGAATTTTAACATGAAGAAAAGTGCAGATCCAGTTTTACGAGTCAATGAATGTACTAAAGAATATAGATCTTGATGATTTTTTTTCGGGAAGTCTTGTTTCGAAAGTGTATTTAAAGTTTCAGATTTCCCAGTGCAAAGAAAAATTACCTATTAATCCTGTTTTCTCAAATTGGGTTAATTTTATCGTAAAAATCTCAATCATAAATTGTTTCGAAAATCTGAAAGCCTATATTTTTTTTTCTTTGAAAGTCAAAAGTTGAAGCTTTTTCAAAAAACAAGTCAGTTATTTTTCTGCTTCCTTGCGTTCAAAGAGTCTTTTTCCAAAAGCATGCTGGCTATGTTTTAAATGAATTTGTATAGCACAGATTAACGACGGGCAGTTTTTTAACCAGGATTCGCTTAACTTCATGATTTCGCAATTTTTCAGTGCACTAAAAATGGAAACTTTGAGATGCAGTGGAAGATAATAGTATTCTTTTCAGGTATTGTTTTTGGACAGGGAACGATTTGTGGCTTGTATGTGTCCTAGTAAAGCTCTCGCAGAGATGGAGCCGATAATGCTGTATCAGTTTGATATATACAAGTATCAGATGGTTGGAGAAAAGAGATTGGTTTATGGATGTGTGAAGAATACACCCAAGAACTACACCAAACACCAAGCATACTGTTAGTGAAAATGAAAAAGTATTGTAATTGACGTAACATTTTATCGGATCGGAAAATCAGATATAACAAACAAGCCGGTGAAGTTTTAATTGCAAAGTGCATTGCTAAATGTTTTAGGATCACCTTTAAAACGTTTTTAAGTAGAAGAAAAGTTTAGAGATTCAATTCTCTCAAATTGGGTTAGTTTTGCAAATCATAAAAATTGCAAATCATAAAAGTTTCTGGACAATCAAAAAGATGCGAGGAGATATATTTTTACTCTTGCGAGAGCAAGTATTGTGTAATCGGAAATTGGACTTTTTTTCCAATAAACATCTCTCTCAATTTTGTATGAAATTGGGAAATTGTTTTAGGTGAACCTTAAAAACTTTAAAACTGTTTCTCACATGGCCTAGAAGTAACGCGGTTGCCGTTGTACCCTTATTCCTGTTTGATTGAAATAGGTATTATGAAAATGTATGGTATCGGGTTTTATTATTATTATTATTATTATTATCATTTGAGACGCTTTGGAAAAAGATTTCATTTTTTTCCCAAAATTTAGTTTTTCTCAAAAATTACTGAGCTGATTTAAAAAAAAATGGTATCAATGGAAAATCCGCCCAGTTCCTTGTGTGCCGGCATAATCCCCTAGTCTCTTTTTACCTTGCCCCATTTTCTGCAGTCTTCGAAAAGTGTGTGTGGGGGGAATTTTTGACCGACATTTTATTAACATTTTCTCAAAAACCCTCCGAAATCTAAGATTTTGGGTTCAACGGATAGAACAGGTTATGGGAAGCTCCCCTGCATTTTTATGGGAAGCTCCCCTGGAAGCTCCGCTGCGCCCAAAGTTTTTTTACACAAAAAATTATGGCCCTCAGAAAAGTCGATTTTTTGACCGTTTTCTAAAATTTTTTGAAATTTCTCGAAAAATACTCTCTCAAATCTGAGATTTTAGTTTTAATCGAAAGGACGTGTTGTGGGGAGCTCCCCTGTAGAAGCGGTTACGCCCAATTGTTCTTATACAAAAAGTTATGATCCTCGGAATAGTCAAAATTTCGATTTGTAGACCGTTTTTTGAAACTTTTGACTTCTCTCTAAAATTACCCTCCTAAATCTTAGTGTTTAGTTTCAACGAGTAGAATCGGTTGTAAGAAGCTCAGCTGCAAAAGCGGTTACGCCTAAACTTTTTTTACTCAAGAAGTTATGACCCCCTTTTGTATCTTTGACGTTTCTCGAAAACTACCCACCCAAATCTGAGATTGTGCGTTCAATGGAAAACACGAGTTGTGGGATCCTTTTCAATTTAGCGGCTTACCCTTTTTTAACGGGAAAAATTATTACCCTGGGAAAAGGAGACTTTTCGACGGTTTTCAAACTCTTTGACTTTTCTCAAATTACTTCCCCATATGCGAGATATTGGTTTCAATGATAAAATGGGTTGTGGGTAGCTCTCTGACATGAGAGGCTACGCTCAAATTTTTTCCAGCAAAAAAGTTGCGCATTTGGAAAAGTCAAATTATGATTTTTTGACAGTTTTTTTCAATTTCTTTATTTGTCTCGAAAGTTACCTATCGCATCAGTACAAAAAAAAATACAAAAATTATCAAACAGGTGTTTCCAGCTTTAGCTGACCTCTAGTGTTTGGGGTTCGAGTCCCGGCTGGACCTTGTTTTTTCAGAATTGATTAGTTATTCAAAACATTCCGGGAAAAATTGAATGTTCGAACTTTCGTTTGTCTGCTTAAGTTTTGTCAGCTTAGTAGCCAGATCGGTGAATTCTCTTGTGCTGTCAGCAATTTTCTCCGTAAGTGCAAGTGTTTTTCATTTACTCATGTAATTTGTAAAAATTAATAGCCTTGACGTATTTTTTTCTTGGTTTTCCATTTGTTAGATTTTTTTCTCTTGAAAGCTTTATTTTTTATTTTAAAGCAAGTTATTTTTTATGACAATAATTTCCTCTGGAATTTTGTTTGTTTTGGGCTCAATGGGCGTGTACATACTTTTTGTCGGCTTAGTGACTGCTCAGTAAACACCGAAAGCCTTTTCAATACTCTATAGTTGTATTTTCGATAACGATTACCAAGCTTTATCAAATCGGAACGTATATTTTTTTGTGTAACTAACTTCTTGACAGAATCATTGAATTAATTTTTCTGGATTATTCATTAGTCAACTCTGTCATTTCGACAATCAACAGGCATTTTTGAGCATTTCTGCATTTTTTTAATTCCTGTTCTATTTACACAATAGAGCTAGCGAGTGTAGTCTCATAGTATGAATCTACCTTTTCCAAACCAATTCGCACATATATGTGCTCATTTGGTGGCACTTTTGCTGCTGTAATCACAGTTTGTAGCATTGGAAATTTCATAGCGTCTGTTCTCTGCTTTGTTGATGGCTACTTTTTCAAGGTTGTCAAGCGACCAAGGCTCATATGACTGGACGCGAGACTCCTAATTTACTGTTTGGAGGTTCAATGCCGCACTTAGCGATTGGTTTCTTAATTTTTGGTGGATTTTTTTGCTGCATAGAATTGACAGTTTTAAGCATCTGTATCTGCTTTATTGGTTATTAAAGTTTGTAGTTTTTTAAGAGTTCGTGGCGCTGATGCGAGGACGTGATAGACTCTTAATCATGAGGTTAGAATTTCGAATCCAGCTCATAGCAAAAGTTTTATTAATCAATGCTTATATTCTTCATTCTCTTATTCGCTGCTTTCTCTCGTTTTCTCGATTGAGTTTCCTAATTGCAGCCCCGTCTGTATCGAAATTTAGTCTAGTTTTGGTTATAAACTAGTTCCGAGTTTTTGTTTTTAAGAGTTAAAGAACGATGTTTTTTTTTACTTAAATAGGTTTTTTTTTAAACTTAAATAGGTTTTTTTCTTAAATTAAGTTCTGTAATAAGTAAAGAAGCGCAACATACTTATGAATGCATTTATGAATACACGTAGGTATATATGCACTTTTTGAGTTAAACTGATTGTTGTTTGATTAAAGGTGCTATCCAATTATGAAAGCGGAAATAGCGCAAAAATATGATCGATTGCCAGTTTCGAAATTGGATTTCAATTTTCAGATTTCCCAGCGGAATACAAAATTTACCAATTGTCCCTGTTTTCTTAAATTGGTGCCAGTAATAAACGGTTCTAGATATTCTAGAAGCTGTAATCCGATATTTTTTTCCGAAACTTGAAAATTGTTTCAGAAAACTTTTTTTGGTTTCTTTGTTCTCTTACACTTTTCCAATCCTCTGTTGGCTATGTTTTTTACTCTACTTTTTCCGCTTCTTGTTATTTCGGCGTAAATGGTTTTGGCTTTTGTTGCATGGGCTCATCTGCTCTCAAGAAAATGTGATCTATTGCCAGTATTGATTCGTTTCATGTGTAAAGATTTCTTGTGTGCTTTTGCTTCAGCTATCAGAATGCTCTGAAGGTCAAAATGTTTTATGACACATTTTTTTTTGGCTGAACGGACGTCTGTCCAAATTTTTTCGGTTTTGTATCGCTCCGAAAATTTAAAACAACTCTTCGTCGTTCGTCTCAACTTCTTTCAGCTAGCTTGGCTCTGTTTCTCATGTAGTTTTGGTAATCTCTATGTGCGTGAGGTAGAAATACGCTACTATCTTCGTAAATATAAAATAATTGGTTTTAAAGCTGTATTTTTCCTGGGTTTTAAATCAGATTTTCGTCGTCTGCAGAAATTGCCCTACGGCGGCTGAAAGTTTTCAGAAAACGAAATCAAGAAACATCATTTTGAATTAGAACAATTAATGATTTGAAATATTTTTTCTGTCGTTTGTTTAGTCAGTTTTGACGCTGTTGAAATAAACCAAAATACAATTTTCTGCATATTGCGTATTATAGTTTTTAAGCCGATTTTATCGAATCCGAGTCATTGTTACGAATAAACATAAAATTGGTTCAGAGCATAAAACCAAAAAGAAGAACTGTTCGACCATTGTTTATCCCATAGAGTTTGAGCCCGAAAAACTCAACACAGGCGTTCTTTTTTGCTGTAAGGTGCTTCAAAACGAGCTAGAATTCGTTTAAAATGCTTTTTCTTCAAGCCTAATTTTTTTAGATTTCCTTGCATGCGTCAGTTTTTCAAGTCTCAGGCTATCAATGATCCAATTACAAGTCTCACGCAAGAGAGCTCTCTGTCTTAAATATGTCAGACTTCGAGAAGTTTTTCTGGAAAAAAGAATTTTTGTTAAAAAACGCAGTAATTTGTTGAAGTAATAACTGATACTTCCATGGAAATTTATTTCAATGTCGGGATTAGGGAGAAAACCATAATTCTATTCCAAGCTATTTCAATAGACCTGCAAAAATTGTGCTTAACAAAGAAAAGTACGATTTTTGTGCTGAATTTTGTCAACAAGTGTACCTCCAGATTTTGCTGGACCCTTTGTTTTGTTAAGTTGACAAAGCTATTTGCAATCTCATTAATTTTTACGAAGTAAATTTTTATTTTATGGGTTGTTTTTAAAAATTTGCTCTTGCCTAATTTTTGATTTAAGCGGTTGGACTTTTGGTTTCTGTACAAGTTTGCATCCATTTGCTAAAAAGAAGGCAAACAACGCTGGCCAGAAATAAAAAGCGAATGATGCGCAAAAGCACAAAACTGTTTTCAGGTTTATTTGGTTTAAATTTTTAGATTTTTTTCGGAATAAAAATTTCCAGCTGATCCATACTTCTCTAATTGGGTTAGCCTTAACAAAAATAATGTGAATCACAACTTATTCCGGAAACTAAAAAATCTTTAAGGTTATACTTCATCTTTGAAACATTTTTCGAAAATTTTTGAATAAGTTAGTTGTTTGGTTGCCATGAGTTTATTAGCACTTTTCCAACTGTTTGTTGGATTCCTTGAAACTTCTCAAATTTGAAAAGAAAACAATCTTTTTTGGTTCGAGTTTTCATCATTGTTCCAGTGGTCTGTGTGCAATGATTAGGCTGATAAATTTGTTTATAAGATTAGCTTGGCTATAAATTAATATTCACCAAAATCTGATCTAAAGCGTTAATTAGTAACCTTAAAAGCTCGCGGATCGATTAGAAAGCCTTATCAAATCGGAGTACCCATTTTTTCAAGTTAAACAAATAATTCAGCAAGCTCACTTGAATGAGCATCGCTCCAAGTAAAATCGAAGCTTTAATCAGAGCATGTGACGTAGAGGTAACGCACATACCTGAGAAGATAAAGGCGAATGGTTCGAATCTGGTCGGGACATCGTTTTTCTTCTGACAAGAATTCGTTGTCGGATTTCTTTGTTTGTTATTTTTGTCGGCTTGTTGTCACTGCACGGAATTTCACTCTGAATAAAGTCGCCGTTTTTTTACAGTATTTTAAGCTGTAATTCTTTCTCATATTCTATCAAAAGTGGTGAGAAGCTCCGCTCGACCTCTGGGTGAACAAAACATTTGAAATTTGGTGTACAAGAGTTTCCAATCATGAATTTTTTATTCAATCCCAGTTTTGTTGAATTTTAGCGAATAGTCTGCTGGTGGCATTTGAGGCTGCATGTGCTATGTACTTGAGCATAGAATATTCTAGAAGAGGAGGGAGTGAAATTGCACGGGAGACACTCTTTAACTTTGAGGTTCTTTTTGGACGAACTTTTAGTTGTTACAAAAAACTGAAAATCAAAAAGAACGCTAGAGATTGTTACAAATACGCAATGAAAGCTTCAGAGCCTGATATTAGATTGGAGTTGGAATTAGAACGAGAAGCATTCGATCAGACAGTTGCTACTGTGAATGAGAACCACAGAGTTAAACTAAACAAATTGTACTCGGTACAGATTATGCAACAGTATCTGTCCGGAATTGTAGAGCGGAACATGGTGCGATACAACACTAGAATTACCCCTTTGAGGAAAAAACAAACTGAGTATCTTCAGCCAGACCTTGCTGCTTGGAATCCAGTATCAATTGCGGGATTTGAAGGGCCGCCAAGAAAAACGAGTTATCAGAGTCTTTTGGCAGACCAGCTTTTCATGAATTGTGAGCCGAAATTGTTTTTCATAGATGGCTCATTTATTGTGAACTTAAAAGTTAATAACTCCAACTACAATTTCACGGCCAAGTCTGCAAACTCGATTGAAGATGCTCTAATGTTGGCGAGTCAAAGAGCTCAATGTGCGTTGCATTCGGACAAAGGAGCTCTCCTAGGCATGCAGAAGGACTTAATGTCCATGTTGCAATATCTAGCGGAAAACTGTAACGTGACCCTAGATGACCTTTCTGCAAGAGTTGACCATTTGGGACCTGACAGTTTTTCTGCGTGTGTAACTTTCAAAGGAAAGACAGTTCGTTCATTGGTACATGAGACCAAAAATGAAGCTTTACTTAATGTAGTGTCCCAGTGCTTCGAAGACGCAGTGACCAACCCGAATGAGTTTTGTATGAATCTGAATCATTAATTTTCAGTTTGCTGCCAAATATCTACAATTATGTTATGGTACTATTCAGAAACAATTTGCAAGCAATACAATAGTGCAATTAAATTATTTCTGTCAAGCTAAATCTGAGTTTAATGACCTAATTTTATCTCATTTGTCTCATTTTCAATCGTTTCGATGAGATTTTATAAATAACATATTCATCTGGACGTGATTATTTAAAATTTATAACAATAGCGTTAATTAGTTTCCTTTCCTAATGTACTGTACAGATAGATTTGTTTTTATTTGCAATCCACGTTTGCTTTTGCTTTTTAATTTAGATATCTTTGTTTTTTTTTTTCGTACAAGATTTTCTAAATGCTTCTAGAAAATGCAAAGGTACCTTCACTTCGGTTGTGAAAAGCGGGATCGCCTTAACCATTCTCCTGTGGTACCTGGTACCGAATCCCCCCGAATACACTATATATAATAAAAAATGTTTCTAAATTATATCGAAGATGTGAAATCAGAAACAATAAATTTTCATCAGCTCTATGTGAATATAATTAGAGGATTATTGCTAAGCAAGTGATTTTTCAGATTGTTTGTTTTGATGCTACAAGTGATTGCTTTGTTTTATGGAAACCGTTAAGACTTGAGTATATGCGACGAGGATACGTTCCGAAGGAAGCGGAATGGCCCGAACGAAGCAGAGTGCGCGAAAGGGCAGACATATTAAGGATAAAAAATCTATACAAACAGACGTCTCTGCTGCTATCAGTCAGAACCAGAACTGTTACGGGAAACCCGGAAAAGTCCAGCTGACGGATCCTCTAATGCAAATCAAAGAAATCGATTTCCTCAATCAACTAGATACACTCTCCAAATTCAGTGTTAATTTTTATGACTTCAGATCGCTATACGCGGACAAGTCGAAATGTTTACGCGTATTATCTCTTGACCAGGCACGCCGCAACTGGTTTCCTAGCAATGAATGGAACTGCTTAAAGAATGCATTTTCATACTTGGTTTCAAACGTTGGCCATAGTAAGGTGCAAAACGCGGGTCAAGTGTTATGGCTTCGCTGGGCATTACAAAAGAGTGGAGATACACCGCTAGCTGTTATAGGTAATATTACATCAGCAAGTTGTTTTTTCTATAATGCGAGTACACAAGGGCGTAGTGGCATTACAAAGTCCACTTTTTTCTAACAAATAACAGTGATAATTTACAGGCAATTTTGAAACATTTTATTTTGACATACTGTGAGATAAATGTTTTACTTCTCGGGAGTCACAGCCCAGATTAATCGCCTTTTTACGCTTGGCAATCAAGCGTGCATCATCTGTATTACGTTAGTCTGCTAAAGGTGACTGGTCACTGATTAATATAAATAGAAAGTCTAACACCAGAAATAATGAAATGATTGAATTAAATGGGAATACGAACATACCAATTGAATTTCATACCACTTAGCAGTTTGCGACCAATTGTTTGTTGTTTAAACACCCTAAAAGTCACTGCCAACGTCTTGCAAGGTAGCCAACAGAGCGTAGGACTTTATACGAAAATTAGAGCCGCTTGTCGCTGTTTTTCTTTGCTCTGGGACCCATTCTTCTGTGCTCTGGCTTTCTGCTAAAAGATCCAACTTTTACTTTTCATGCTAAAAGGTTGGTCCCAATACTTAGTTTAACGGTTCGTTTTTTTTTATCAGCGGACCACGTTGAGCATTCACAGGAGGCACTGTGCGCGAAGATGATTGCTGTGTTTGCGGGCGAAAGAGCACTAGCCAGGTTTCTGTTTGAGAATTACCTGCACTTCATCTACAATGTGATCAAGAAGAAAAGAGATCCAATCTGCCTGTATGAGCCGCCACATAATATCATACAAGATGTTAGTTTTTCAGAAGGTCTTAACAAGTCATAGTTAGAATAAACAACGACAAACTGCAATGCACATAAACTATTGTTGTACATATTTCCTGCTTTGCGGGTTAAATAAGTTCCTAAAATGTTTCCTGATCTAAGGTTTTCTTTTTTTTCACCCAAAAATTTTCTTACTTTTATCTATTCATTTCTCCGCGCTCGTGTTGTATAACCAGTTCACATTTTTAAGAGTCATGAACGTGGACTTTAATTTTCAGATTTTCCAACGCAGCAAAAATTACCCGTGGCTCCAGTTTTCTCAAATTGAGTCAATTTTTATCAAAAAGTTGTCAACCATAAATTTTCTAGGACTTCAAAGAGTTTTAAGGCCATTTATTTTTTTCTTTGAAATTCGAACATTGAGACTTAATTAAGAAACAAGTAAGTTTTTTTCTGTTTCTTTGCGTTCATGACTCTGTTTCAACTGTCTGTTGGGTATGCTTCGACTTACTTCGCTCTTTTTTTGTTCGTCTGTTTTGAATGTTCTGTCGTGGTCAATATTCGGTCTGCTTTGAAACGTTTCGGTTAATTTCCTTAATTAAACTCGATGAACGTAGATAAGACTCTTATATAGTTCGTGATCATTTTTTGTCAGAAAAAAGTCTTAAAATTTGTTCACGCTCAATTTGATTTTTGCTCCGGCTTTACTTGCTTTCTTTTTAATTTATTTCTTTCATTTTAAAAGGAAGGCAAACTCCACTGTCGAACAGCAAAAGTGTAAAGGTCACCAACCGCGTGATCGACTTCTAATTTCTAAAGTGTATTTTAATGCTCCCAGATTTCCCAGTGGAATAAAAGCTTTACCCACTGATCCAGTTTTCTCAAATTGAATCAATTTTTATCAAAATGTGTCAATCATAAATGTTCTAGGATTTCAAAGGGCTTAAGGCCATCTATTTCTTTCTTCGAAAATTGAGACTTGTTTAAGAAACAAGTCAATTTTTTCCTGTTTCCTTGCGTTCATGACTCTGTTCCAACTCTCTGTTGGCTATTTTTCAATTTACTTTGCTCTTTTTTGTGGTCACTATTTCAATTTACTTTCTCTTTGTTGATTTTATGGTTAATGGCTCATAATTTATCGCAAGTGATGCAAGTGATTTTTTAAATGTAAAAAACTTAACAGGAAGTTGCTCTTGCTTTAATAAGGAGCCTTAACAACTTCCATGTTCCTTCTCACTAAAACTGGAGATAATGAGGTCGTTTTAAATCTCGTAAAGGTTCTGGGTTCTAGTCCCGGAAGGACTTTTTAAAATCAGTATGTATAAAATTGCCTATTTTCTTGGGTAAGAATTGAATTAGGATTTTCATTTGCCTACTCAATTTTTGATTACAAGTGTTGTTCTTGAAACTTGCAAAAAAACTTTAATTAAAAAAACAACGTTTTTTTGGCTCAAATAATTTGCTCTGCGGCTTTGTTTCCGCTTAGTAAGTTTTGTTCAGTTCCTAATTTAAAGTTAAAATCTTTTGCTTGGTATCTTTTTCTTGAGTTTCTGTTTGATAAAAACAAATATTATGAAATTGTCTGGAATTGGTTTTTTTAATTAAATTTTTATACTGTCTTCCTGCATAATTTCTTAGTATCTTTTTACTTTACCCCACTGTCTACAGTCTTCGAAAAAGTCTGTGGGGGGAATATTTGACTCATATTTTTGGATATTTTCTTTTTCTAAAAAAAAACACCATCCCAAATCTGAGATTTTGGGTTCAATCGAAGTAACGGGATGTGGGACGCTCACCGGTATAATCGGCTGCCCATTTTTTGCGTAAAACTTTATCAATGTTTGATTTATTGACATTTTCTTGGAAACTTTTTTTTTCCTGAAAACTACATTACTTATTCTTTGAGTAAGTGTTCAATCGAGCTACCCGCTTTTGGGAATCTTCTCTGCTTAAGCGATCATGGCCTATTTTTTGCAGCAATAAAGTTGTAGATTTGGGAAAGTTTTTGACGTTTTGATGGTTTTTAAAAAATTGTTGACTTTTCTTTACACCAGCGTCAGTCGCAAATATTGGTGCCAGTTTTGGCGCACCTTTAAAGCTTTTTGATGGCATGTGCTCTGACTTTCGAAATTTAATGAGTTAACTCAGTTGATGCATTTTGAGTTCATCAAATGAACCGAAAAAAGCTATTTGTTTCAAACAACATAACAATAATAAAAACTCGATTCCAGAAGTTTTCTCAACCAATATATCTTGCAATTTTTTGAAATGCATAATTTATACAAAATATGGCTTTATGCTTTGCAATTTGTTACATGCGAATTTATTGTGGGTGCCTTCAGTTTTTTTTAAAATTTTTTACTTGCAAAATTGTGTCTATTTGTATTTGGTGCCACTTTGCTGAATCGCATTGCTTCTAGAGCTGCTTTTCGTCGTGTTCTCACCGGTGTTTGCGAAGCGAAGCTTCGCCTCTGTGCAAAAACCACCCTATCAATTATGAGATGAAGGGTGGGTTCAATCGAAAGAACCAGTTGCAAACCTATTCTAGTGGAGGAACAACTAAGACTTTGGGCTAATACATTTTTTCAACTTACACATTTTATCCAGCATCAGTATAACAATTTCAAAAAGTATCAAACAAGTGCTTTCAGCTTTAGCTGGGCCCTTTGTTTTATCGAGACATGAAAAAGTTTTGATTCCCCTAGTTTTTCCAACATTTTTTGGTTGTTGTATCGCAAGTGGTGCGAAGCTCGGCTTGGCCTCTGTGTAAAATACCCGTCCATAAATATCATTTAAGTTCGTCGGCTCAGTTGACGCTTGTTACTTGTTTTTTTTTTGGATTGATTTTCGTTGATTGTGTATCTGGACTTGTTTTCCGCAAATAGAACATGATTCCAGACGAAGTTTTGAGTTTTTTAAGTTGTGCTTTTTGAAGTGTTTTTTCCTTTTTTTTCGGACTGAGTGGCTTTCTTTTTCTGTCTGCTAGCCTACACTGCTATTTTTATGTTTTATCGCGAGTGGAGTGGTGCGAAGCTCCGCTTCGTCTCCGTGTAAAAAGTTTCTTTTCAGTGAAAAGTCAGTATTGCAGTCAGTTTATTGCAAGCAAAGTAACTTTCTAATTTATTGCATGCAAAGTGTGTTTCATGTAAGCTTTTACATTCCAATTTCTTATATAGAAATTTTGTGTTTCCGTGCAATTTTTTGTGCTGAATCTTCTGCCGCTTTTTTGCTTGTGTTTACGCTTGAGATTAGCGAGCGTTATAAATTGAAATAGACTTTTTTCGGGTTAACAACTAGTTTAACAGAATCACTTGAATCATTTCACCTTTGTTTCGTAAGAAATCAAAAGTCAGAAGTTAATTCGCACATGTGTTGCAGAGGATAAGCTCCTTCTTACTCAAACAAAGGTCATTGGACTGCTTGTATTTTGTCGGCTGAGTTGTCGCAGCACCAAATCAGCCTAAAAGGATAATTTTTTCATAAATTGAAACTTTTCAGTGAATTCCGATTTTGGGTAAGTAATTGAGATACAAAAAATTTTGACAATTCTTTTTCGCTTTTGATTTTTTTATGCTTGTTCGTTTGCAAGTTGTTTTCTTCAATAAATTCAAGTAGTATTCTGTGCATTTGGTGCAGTGATAATACCCATGCTTGACAGATCCCGGAAGGTCGATTCTAGTCGGAGTTTTTTGGGGGAAGTTTTCGACTATATTAGACTTTCGTTTTTGCTTATTTTTGTCAGCTTAGTTCACGCAGAAAGGTTCAGGCTCTATTTAGTGTTTTGAAAGCTCTCTCTTAAATTTCTAATGGTGCAGGTAATTTTGTTCCATGATTTTTTGTCTATGTTTGCACTTTTATAACTTTTTTGTAAATTTGATTTTCGAAGTTTAAGTTGTAAATTTACTTGCTCCAAAATTTAATCTTAAAAGAGCGAACTTATTTTAATTTTATAGGTTTTGATGATTTTTTTTTCGAGGAAAAATTCGTGGAATTTTTTTTATAACTTCAGAAAAACCTCCGTACATAATAATGCATTTATGAATGCACGTAGGTAAATAAGCTTTTTGAGTTCTATTTTTAAAAGAGAAGAAGCAGAGCTTAGATAAATTGCGCTCTTCAATTATGAAAGCGGAAATAGCGCGGAAAAAAACGTGATCTCCCTCAGTTTCGAAAACGTTTTATTTTTAAAATTTGCTAGCGTTATTTTAAAATTCTTTACATTGATCCAGTTTTTTTTTCGAAATAGGTTATCTCAATAAAAAAAGTGTCTATCTTAATTTCTTTTTGAAATTCACAGTGCATCGTAGCCTGTCTTTTTTCTTGAAAAATTGAAAGATGAAAAAAAAAATAAATTCAAGAATTTTTTTGCGTCTCTTCTTGAATAAAAACTTCTCTTGCCTCAACCAAGTAGAGGAGTTCCCAAAGTAAGCGACAGGAAATTAGTGTTTGCCTCACCACCCAGTAACGAATGTCAACAAGCCTGGAAAATTCGCCGAGTACTAAGCGCCTCTAGCATCTTCGAAGGAACCTCTCCTAACAATGCTCTTCTGCAACGGTCCTCACAAACCTCAATCAGCGGAGTTGTCATATAATTTCTTGAAGACCAGATTTGCATCTCAGCAAACATCGAGGCCATGTTCATTCAAGTCTTCATTGAGTCTCAAGATCAGCCCTTCCTACGAATACTATGGAAGGGCCACCAAAACAAGTTTATCACCTACCAATATACCACAGCATCTTCGGTGCAACGAAACCACCTTGTTGCTTGCTACGCTACTCGACAATTTACCAAAGACACTGCCGACGACATGCTCAGTTTGCTACAAATCACAGAAACGAAAATATATATGGGCGACTTGTACAAAGCCGTATCAACGCCGGTTGAAGCCACCAGATTGATGAAAGACCTTCGAACAATGTTCAGCTGCTGGGGTTTAAACTTGACAAACTAGACATCCTTCAAACGGACAAAATGGACATGCTCTGAACATGTTCAGCTGCTGAGGTTTCACATTGACAAAGTGAACATCCTAAAACAACAACTCTAAACAGTTTTTAAGGACCGTCAATCAGAACATAGGGAACAGCTTTAGCCTCACATAAGACTCAAGACCTCTCGAACGAGTTCTAGGAGTCAAATGGGAGCCCGACAGACGTTTTTCTCGTGAAATTTTCAGACGATTCAACAAAAGGATCTCACCCAGCGCACTGAAGCTTGTTTCTTCAATCTTCGATCCACTTGGAATAACAATGACTTCGACGGTACGATCTCGGAAGTTACTGCCTGGACAACTCGACCTCAATGGAAGAAACCCTTCAGCATGGCATCTCTGGGGCTCTCAAAGAAAAGATTGACAAACGCAACCAGCTCATTGAAAATTGCCTGAAACGAAATTATTTCAAAACAGGAAAGAATATTCTCCACACAAAGCTTCAAGTCTTGAACAACGCCTCGGAGCTTAACCTCGCATCAGTTGCCTACTTCAGGGCCACCTATGCCGACGACCTAATGGAAATAAGTTTCAAGTTTCATTGTTGGTGAAGCACGAGCAGCCCCTCAAACGGACGAAAAAACCGAACTTGGACTACAAACCGCGACCGTTGGAGCTACAGCAAATCTTCAAATCAGCGCCACCAGATCATCATTACCAACCGCCTCAACTTCATGTTGGACTCAACGTCGTAAGAAGATTGGATATACCTACGCAGCAAATCAACAGTGATGACGATGGAATACGTGGTTGCAACGAATGCGACATCACAACCCGATGGATCAAAGGACCAGTCTTCGTTGCGGGGCAACCTTCATCAGATTGGCCCGCAAAATTGGAATTACTCCCTTTGACCGTTGTTCTAGCGACAGACAGCCAACTTCAGCCGACAGCAAACCTCAGTAGAAAGAAACCTCTACATTGATCGAATACAGCCGATTCGGCGCTTGGATACGAAATCTCTTTATAGAGAACACCACAGCAAGAAGACACTTCTGACAATTCAGGAACGAGCTAATGCGTTTGTCTATTGTGAAGAGATGCCAACTGCCTGCTGACACTTCAGGAACTAAGTAATGCGTTTGAGTCTACTGTGAAGAGATTCCAGATGCCAACTCAACATTTTCGCCGAGGAAATTGACAGCTTTTGTAAAATTACCTCAATACATGCCCACAGCCGACTACAAAAACTCTGTGCATCCCTCGACAAATACTAATTTTTTTGAACCAGATCACGACTCAGCAAAGCAACAATTCTTCTCTTCAGCCGCTACCAAGTCATAATAAACACAGAGCGGTAACCCGTTCGTCTCTTTTTACAGTATGTTCACGATAGCAAAAGACATGATGGATTAGAACACAGCTGCAGCATCGTACAACATGGCATATTGATTCTCCACAAAAGGAAAATCTTGAAAAGAAGTATCCGACGGTGCCTACCATTCCACCGACTAGGACAAGAACTAATTAGGTCTAATGTACGACATGCCTCTTGCCGAAGTGCCAGCAACGGACAACAAAGGTTCTCGTCTTTGCATGAGCTAACTTCATTGGACCATTCGCAACGAAGAACGTCAGAAAGTTTTCCAAAATATATGTTTTGATCTTCACCTGCCTGGTTACTCGAGCAGTACTTACTGCAATCTGCGACTTCATCAACACCGACTGCACGCTTCAAGCCTTTCGACGCTTCATCGTCCAACGTCGAAAATCCAACCATATATAATCCGACAACGGAAAATTTTTTGTTCAACAGCGAGTTTGAGCAACTTCTCCAGCAACTTCAGAATCTAAACAGTTCAGGATTTAGGACGATTTTCTTGAATTGAATTGGAACTTCAAACTACCCGGCGCGCCACACTTTGGAAGATTTTAGGATAAATTAGTGAAAATTTTCCAGGATTCCTTCTGCTGCAAAGTAATCGGATTACGCTCTCGCAACCACGAAATTTTGTAAACCTTCGAACCCTGCATACGTGTCATCTGACACGAAAGAGTGGGAAGGGAATACCTTCTGCACTCAGTCAATGTCAAAAATGGAGAGCTATAACCAGGAGACTAAGTCTGGACTCTATAAGACCTCACGCCTCGTGGCATTTGGCCCCTGTGACGGGTACCCAATACGTTTCCCGGATCAGATGGAATCGGACAGACCAACCGTGGACGCCTCATCAGACCCCCTATTAATCTCTCGTTAGTTTTGGGGACTAACTCAGTAGCAACCAGCTCCCTCCCATCAACAGCAACTGCATTAATGACGACGGGACAAGAAGCAGCAGAAACCCGGGCAATTCACCATTACGGACTACTCCTCGACTCCGACGACTACTGACGACACCCGACATGCCATCTACAGAATTGACTTTATTTGAAACCTTCAAGTGGACCCGGCTATGTTCCCGCCACTATGACGCACGTGTCAAAAACATTACTCATAGCATTAGAAAACTTAACAAAAGTCACATTGCCAGTTTAATTAATTAAATCAGTTTTTAAAACACGATTTCCCTTTCATTAGCCAGTAGATTCAGTGATTTAGCTGAGTAGCTTTTAATCTTTTATGGACTTTAGACTAAAAGTAACGACCCATGTTCGGGGCATGTTAATTAATGTCAGGTCTCCAACAAACCATCAAAAGCTCTTATTATCTCTTTAATCTCCTATGAGGTACTGGTACGGTTTAATGCCCCCCCCCCCCACACTCCTTCATTGTCTCCCTTTTAGTTCTCATGTCTACTTGTTGCCTTTCAAGAATTATAAGTCTTGGACATCACTTATAACTTTTTCTTTACAGATTGGAGAAGAGGTGCCGAAACCGAAGCTGCGAAGCGAATATGGTTCAGATGCTGAAATTCGCAAGCCCAAAGCTTGCAATGTGGACATGTGAGTTTCTGAAATAAAAGTTGGTGGATTTTGTTATTAACCATTTTATCAAAGGGAGAAATCCGATACAAGGTACAACATTTGTACTTGCTTAACTATTAGATAAGTCCTCTGTAAGGTTGGAAATTCAAACAGGGTGCAGTAGGAGGGAGATTGTTAGCAAGATCCCATTTTAGTCTTACTATTTGCCAAGATCGTATGATCTATTCGAAGCTCTGTAATAATAATATGAAAAAAATCTTCTCTCTCATAACCAGAACTGTGATAAAATTATTTGTTTACCCTTGACGCGTCTGTTGGGTTGTTTCAAAGGTTTCTGAATGTGATGGAAAAGCAACTACGCAAATATAGCTTGAGACATGAGAGGAGAGGCAGAGACGGAGATAAAAATTCTGATGAGATAGTTTCGTCCAATGTGCAGAAACCAAAGGACGTCCTGTTGCACTGGGGATGTTCAGATGCCATTGAAGATATTCTTATTACTCGCATAAAGGTGCGAGAGAGTTCAAACGAAGACGTAAATGAAGACGATGTAAGTGAAGATGACGAAGAACACGATGAAGACGGTGAAGTAGGCAATGAAGAAGAGGATGATCAAGAACAGGAAGTCAAACAAGAAGAAGATGTCAATCTAGAACAGCCCACCAAGCAAGCCGTGGATATCAATCTAGAACAGCCGACCAAGCAAGCCGTGGATATCAACCTAGAACAGCCGATCAAGCAAGCCGTGGATATCAACCTAGAACAGGGAATCAAGCAAGAGACGATTGACGATGAAGTGAAATTGGAATATGTGTATGAAGCTATCCTTTCCATCCGCAACAATAACTGTTTCTACAAAGCGTATGGTGAGAGTAGATTGATTCAGTATTTCGTATTGTTTTCAAAACATCATCTAAAATTATCAAGAGTCAATGAACACTGCGAAGAATCCTATTTACATCTTGATTACATTTGCGATATGCGAAGAATCCTATTTACATCTTGATTACATATGCGATAAGCAAGGGTATTGAAATCGGAAACTAGACTTTTGGTGGTAGACCAGTAAATCGATGTATCAGTACACCAAAAACGGGCGGACTAGATCAGTAAACCGAAAATTCATGAATTAATTACGTAATCACATAATCAGAGATTTTCACAAAATGACAAACTGTTTCCTCAAAACAAAAACTCTTCCCATGCGCCCAGTAGTTTTAAAATTATTGTTCTAGCTCAAGAAACCTTTTTTCCATAACTCTTTAATTCCGCAATTGATGTAATTATTGCGTAAATCGGGTTACTGATCTTGTAATTTACTGACACATTGGTTTACTGTGCGAACCTCAGACTTTTTTTGCCGTAAACAACTTGGTTCGAAGGAATCGTCTATCTATTATATATTTAAATGCGGGCTTCATCATCTCGCCATAATTAAATTTTTTCAACGTATTATTTTTTGCTGGTTTTACGAAAGAATTTTGGCAGGTTTAAGCTGTATCGTATATTGCAATGCTACGAAAATTTTTCGATTTTCTAGCTTGATTTTAATTTTTTTTCGATGCTGACAGGGTTACGCTAGGTGCTGCAATTTGTGCCCCCAAATATGACTACCCAAATCTTTTTACTTTTTTCGAAAATTTTCATAAAACTTAGATTCAAACAATTCCAAAAAATTGAATTTCTCAACCCTGTAGTAAGGTGCTGTCAGGGTTACCCTAGGTGTTGCAAATTGTGCCTCTAAATATGACTACCCAATTTTTTTTCTTTTTTCGAAAATTTTCATAAAACTTAGATTCAAACTATTCCAAAAAATTGAATTTCTCAACCCTGTAGTAAGGTGCTGTCAGGGTACTCTCAGGGGTTGCAAATTGTACCTCCAAATATGACTACCCAAATCTTTTTACTTTTTTTCGAAAATTTTCATAAAACTTAGATTCAAACAATTCCGAAAAATTGAATTTCTCAACCCTGTAGTAAGGTGTTGTCTTGGTACTGACAGGGGTTGCAAATTGTACCTCCAATTATGACTACCCAAATCTGTTTACTTTTTTCGAAAATTTTCATAAAACTTAGATTCAAACAATTCCAAAAAATTGAAATTCTTAACCCTGTAGTAAGGTGCTGTCAGGGTACTCTCAGCGGTTGCGAATTGTGCCTCCAAATTTGACTGCTCAAATCCTTTTATTTTCCGAGATATGACGTTTTTTTAAATGTTTTTCAAAAAAATATATTTTCGAAGAAATTATAAATTAAAACTTGTAAAAAGTTGATTTTCTCAACCCTGTGTTTGGGTGCTGTCAGGGTGCTCTTCCGGGTTGCGCATCTTTCGTCCAATTATGAATGCTCGAATCTTGATAGTTTTCGAGATATGGCGTTTTTTTGTGATTTTTTTTCATTTTCAGAAAACAGATTGAAATTTCAAAATTTGAAATTCCCAACCATGCAGTTATGAAATTTTTTTTTCAGAAACTTTCAAATAACTTAGATATATAAAATTTTACAAAAGTTGAAATTCTGAGTTCTATAGAGTGAGGTGCTGTCAGGGTACTCTCAGGCGTTTTAAATCTGCCTCCGAATGTGACTGCTCAAATACTCTTAGTTTCCGAGATGTGACGTTTTTCAATATTTTTCAAAATTTTTCACAAAAAATTTGAATAAAAAAAACAACGTTTCAAAATTTGAAATCTTGGGGGTTTCAGATCTTGCATCCGAATTCGATTGTTAAATCATCTTAGTTTCTGAGACACGAGGTTTTTATGTTTTTTGCAAAATTTTTCTAAAAACTAAGATCTAAAATAATTTCCAAGTTCGAAAAAGTCAGCAATTATTATTAAATTTCAATTGAATACTTTTCAGGGGGTGATGTCAGATTACTACCAGCGGATGCATTGGCCTCTCGTCCTAATTTTTTCGCTCATTTTTTTTTTTCATTTAGTTTTTTTTCTTTTAATTTAGAAAAAAGAGTCTGATATTTTAAAATGAGTTACGCTGAATTATATTTTTTTGGTTATGAATTTGATGATTTTGAAATTGAAATTGTTTCAATTTTTTTATTGAAAGTGCAGTTGTACCCTGTCGGCTATTTCAGGGGTTTTTTTGCGAAGAGCTGAAGTTTAGTTTAAAAAACCTTGCGTCAAAATTTTTTTTTTATGTTCAAATTTTGAAATCAAGCGGCGATGGATTATCCCGTCTTTTTTTCTACGGTTGCATTTATTTCGCTGTTTTTTCCCATATAATTTACGTATAAGCAATTTTGATGTTCCCTAGTCTGCTTGAAGCACCGGAGGCGTGTTACACGCTAGTTTCCTTGAACGATCTTTTCATCTAGACTCATTTCCTTGAAGCTTCTTAACAACCAATTCGCCGCTACAGATATATGTTGTGCTTGTTGGGTTTTTCAATATCTGTCCTGTTCGAATGTTTTATGTCGTTTGTAATTTAACCACCTGTCGTTTTTAATTTTGTAAAATTTCAGTTTTTTTTGTGTGTTTTGAGGGTGAGGGGGACTTAATAACTTTTTGAATTTTTTCCGGCTTTTTTTGACCTCATAAGATTCGGCCTGTATTATATCGGCTAAGTGATTGTTAATTTTTTCGACATTTGATTTTTTTTACTTAGCGGCATTCTTGTTTTGTATCGCAAGTGGTTCGAAGCTCAGCTTCGCCTCTTTGTGACTTTTTGATTTTTTTTCAGGAAAATTTTGTTTTTAAGTTCAGTTCATTTCTTTTCGTAAAAGGAAGGTAGACTCCGCTATCCACCAGCTAAATTTTAAAGGTCACGAAAAACGAGATCGACTTCTAATTTTGGAAATTAAATTTAATTTTCAGATTTCCCAATGGAATTAGAAACTTACTGATTGAGCCAGTTTTCTCAAATTCGGTTAATTGTTTCAAAGAAGTGCCAATGAGAACTGGTTCTTGAATTTCAAAGGGCTTTAAGATCAAATGTTTTTTAATTTGGAAATCGAAAATTGAAGTTTTTCAAAATTGTAATTCAGTATTTGCACTAACAAGGTTGTGAGCGTAATGTATTAGTACGATCCTTTTTTTCCAACCTAACTCATAAAAAAAAGTGCTCATTTTGTATAGCATTTGTTCTCTGCCTTTTTTGTGCTTAGTTTTTGTGAATTTTTAAGTGTCCGTTGGCTGAGTGTTTAGTGCGTATTTTTTGGTATCTTTCTTCTATCTAAACTTGCCAGAGCAAGTGTATTGTAGTTGGCAACTAGTCTTTTCCCGTAGATAAAGTTCTTACAAATTGTCAACTTGCTTTATTATTGAACTTTTTTTCGGTGAGTTGTCGGACTTTCTTTTGTCTGTTTCAGTTTTTTTATCACGGATTTTGCTTGTACTGGAAGCAACTTTCCTTGTAGATGCAAGTGCAAGTACTGTTCATTGTAGTTTCAGGGGGACTTCAAACTTTTTAATGTTTTAAAAAAATTTTTCTGCTCAACTTGTGTCCTCTCAAAGATTGTCGGCTTTGTTCCTCTTCGTTATTTTTGTTCCGTTGCCTATCTAATAATCAAATGAATGGAATGTTTGCCTAGAATGAACTTCTATCGAGACAGGCGAAAATTTAAGTTATGGTAGACCTGTTTTTCAACGTTTTTTGCCTTGTTTTAATGTTTGTCCTGAATCCCAAGTGTTGCGAAGCTTTGCTTCGCCTCTGTGTACACTTTAGCCATTTTATATTGGCTATATTTTATTTGTCAATGAAAAAGTGATTTTTGTCTTTGGTAAACAAACAAAAGAATTTTTTTTCAGGAAAAAGGTTTGAATTTCGATCGCGCTCAACTTTTCAAGGTTTGAATTTTGCTTTTTTTGGCAAGAATTTGAATACTTTCGTTAAGGCAAATTACGCTGTCCGATCAAGACAGTGGAAACGGCGCGAGAAAACGTGACTGAGTTTTAGTTTTGAAAGTGACTTCAATTATTAGGTTTTGAAGAGGCATTAAAAAATTAACTGATGACCTAGTTTTCTCAATAATATGGGTTAGCCTTATCAAAAAAGTGTCTATCATAAATTGTTTTAAACTGATAAAGACATGTAATAAAAAGTCATGTTTTTTTTCTTTTCTTTTCAGCTAGCAGCGAGGAGCTGGCAGTTGAAGCAGTTGCTTCACTTGTGATACAAGGAGTGTTCGGTAGGAAATCATTGGCCAAACTCCTCCTCCGAAGCTACATAAATTATCTCAATGCAACTCAATCGCGTGAAATTCCCAGGCCACAATTGTTTTTGAGACTCCAGAAACCACCAGCGTCGGAAGAGCCAGTTGATGGACCCAAAGTTCAAATCACAAGAGATCGTCTTCCTTGCCTCCTTATGCAATTAATAGAAGCAAGGTCGATATTTGATCCTGAAACCAGGCATGAGATTTGGCTCAGAGAGAATTCAGAGGTAACATGGTTATTTACGGAGGGAAACGGTTGACAGAGTTGGCTTTTCCATCATGTTTAACATTAATTTAGTTCTCCACAAAAGTGCTGTTTCAGTCTCGATGTACTGTACATTTGTTTTATCGTTTTTTTGGCGACCGGTGTTTAGAAAGCAGCCAGAGCAAATGGCAGAACTGAGGAGACATCAAAGAGTAAATCTGTAGGGTCTGATGTTGGAATTCCAATGTGGGTAGTTCGGATCAATTGAGCAATCTCTCCCCCCTCCGTTGTGACCAATTGAGCTATCTCCATCCAAACAAAAACCGTAAAGCGCTATAAAAAATACCTTATCAAATTCAAGCGAGTAGTTGACTTTCTCATAGCACGCAATCAATTGACCAATTGACGTTTATTTTTTATATGAAAAATTTTTGTCGAGTTTAAAAAAATGTGTTCTACGAATTTTTGTCTGCGCGATCATTGCCTCGAGAAATGTAAAAGACCACGGTTTGTGCTCTACCGTGGTACCTGAATGCCAAAAATTGTTTTCGGCAGCACCTCAATTATGTACGCAATAGTATTTTTTCCATTTTTGACCGAAAAAATTGGCTCTTTATGCATCACTCTTAGTGATTTTCTTTTATTTGGAAAGGAGTTTGTGAATTGGTTGGAGCCACGAATGATTTTATGTCATTTAAGCGAATTTCAAGTGGTTATAAATTAGCCTCAAGTACCTCAACTAGCCAACGCGAGAAGGGGGAGAGATTGCTCAATTGCTCCGTAAGTTCTTTCTATTTTTCGCAGATGCTTCACTCATTTTTGGGATTTTCTTGCAGATTCAAAGCTCTTTTTTTTTGCCATGTTTTTGCTTGTATTTGGGAAATGCAGCTTCTCATTTGCTGCATGTATGTTAGGGCTAAATGTCTCGTTAATGTTTCCATAAAGAAATTTGCACATCCGTTTTTTGAATAAATGTGTATATTTACAATTATGAGAGTAGCGTATTAGTACAACACGACCCTTTTTTTTCCAAACTATCTCGCAAATAAAAGTGTTCACGATCTGTAGCATTGGAAATTTCATAGAATCTGTTAGCTGCTTTATGTGTGGCTAGTGCTTCTGAGTTTTTAAGCGTCTATGGCTGAGTGGCTAGTGCGTGAGAATCATAATTTCTAGGTCGCAGGAAGGAATTCGACACGTTGAATTTTTACTAATTCGAGGCTTATTTCTTTCTTTTCACTTTTTAGAGCTGCTTTTTGTCATGTTCTCGCTAGTGTTTGCGAAGCGAGAACATGACACGATATTGTGGATATTGATAATCGTTTTTAGGTGATGTTTCTGGACAGGGAACGATTTTTGCACTGTATGTCTCCGAGTAAAGCTCTTGCAGATGTGGAAAAGTTATCATTGGATCAGTTCGATGTTTACAAGTATCAGATGGGTGGAAGAAAGGGATTGGTTTATGGATGTGTGAATAATGCACTCAAGAATAACATCAAACACCAGGCATACTGTAAGTAAAAAGAAGTAATATTCATGTAATGGAAAATTTTATAAAATGGAAAAAAATGACGAAAAGTGGTTAGTTAAATGTTAATGTGCAAAGTGCATTTATAGGCGTTTATCAACGATCTGTTTTTTTAAGATAATCTGAAGTTAATTTTTTTTGAATAGAAGGTAAATTACGCTCTCCGATAACAAAAGTGCAAATGGAGCAAAAAAACTAGATTAACTTAGTTTCAAAAATAGTGACGCTGATACTTTTTGAAATTCTTCTGCCGTTTTTTAGATTCCTACTTATTTTTACGGCTACAATCAAGTTAAAGAAAACAGCCAATTTTCATTGGTCCATCGAGAACTGATGTTCTCATAGTTCTTGAGCCCGGAAGTTTCAATGTAGGCTTTTTGATATTTGCGATACCAACCATATCAAAGTTAACTGCTCATCCCAATTTATTACTCATGTGATGTAGCGATTATTTTTTATTACGATTCCACTTTTTTTTGGCGAACTCGCGCAAAAGAGTGCTCATTTTGTTGCTTTTGAAGTTCCAATGGCGGAGACGGAATAACTCGTTATCTTTAGGTCGACGATTCGATACGGGTTGATTACAAGTTTTTTTAAGTTTTCTGAATACCTATTGAAATGAAACTGTCGATTGATCCAGTTATTGCAAATTCGTTTTTTTTAAAATATGTAATTATTTTCCAACCATAAATTTCTGGCGATATATTTTTTTATCTTTGAAACCAAGTTGAAAAGTTTAAATAAAAATTTGTCATTTTAGTTTTATGAGTTCATTAACACTCTTCCCACTGTGTGTTGGGGGGATTTGAAACTCGCAATAAAAGACAGCTCGCATTAACAGATAGCTCGCAATATAGTTACCGCAGGAGTCGAAACAATGTGTTGCGAGCTTGCCAACAGAGGGTAGGACTTGATACGAAACTTAGAGCCGGTTATCGCCGAGTAGCGCGCCCACCGACGACCTTAGCCCGAAATTCTTACGTTATAAAATAATTTTCAAACTGCGTCTGTATTCTGAAATTTCGCGAGTTGTCGCGATACGTAGTATGTTTTATTCTCTTAAACTTCAAAAATTGGAAAAAAAGAAAACTTTTCTTTTGTGTTTAGTTCGTTTTAACTATTCTAATGTTCTGCGGGCTGTGTTCTCTTTTCGAATTGATTGATTCATCAGTATATTTTTAAGCTTAGCTTGGCCTATAAGTACATATTTTATACAGATCTAAACATAGAGTATTGTTATAAATTACTTAGGTCGTGAATCGTATTTGTCAGCCAGATCATAATTTACACAATTATTTTTCCGGTTCAGAGCTAAGTTTTTGGCTCAGTTGAACAGCACTCGATCAGCACGAAATTCTAGGTTAACAACTTGTCTAACAGAATCATTGAGTTATGGAAATCTTGATTAACTACACTAGCGAGCAGCGTAGTGTATTAGTACGAGCCTTTTTTTCTAACCCTACTCACGAATAAAAGGGTTCACGATCTGAGCATTGCAAATTTCATAGCATCTGTTCTCTGCTTTTTGTGGCTATTGTTTTTGGTTTATTAAGTGTCTGTGGCTGAGTGGTCAGTGCGTGAGACTCAGAATCTCTAGGTCGCAGAGCGAATCCGATAAGTAGCCGAGTTTTTACTAATTCGAGGCTTGTTTCTACTCATTCTTATTGCACTCTCTAGAGCAGCTTGCGGAGCGAAGCTTCGCCTCTGTAATAATTGGCATTCTAATGTTTTAATCTGCGCAGCGAAGCTTCGCCTCTGTAATAATTGGCATTCTAATGTTTTAATCTGCGCAGCGAAGCTTCGCCTCTGTAATAATTGGCATTCTAATGTTTTAATCTGCGCATATAGCGATAAAATTCCCGCAATGGGTCGACCAATGCTTAGAACGACCGGCCAAGACCTGTTCTTTTTTGCATACTGAAAATATTTAGCTTGAAAAAACATAATTGTGCATAATAGATCCATGAAAGCAATAAATCTAGCCTTTTCTTTTTTGTACATTTCTCGCGATGTTGAAATAGTTGGAAACCGATTTTCTGTTTATTTTAGGATGTGTGTTTTCGCCTGGTCTGAGTTTGTCAGATAAGCTGTCATACATCATAAATGTGTCGGAGATTGAATGGATTGTGCCTACTCGTGAAACAGTTTATTTTAAAATTAAATTTTTACATCTGAACACTGGGATATTTTTTGTCTCGCAAGTGATGCCATGCTTAGCTTTGTCTCTGTATATTTTACAAATTGAATCTTAGTTTTGTTTCTTGTTTTAGCGACTAATCTGCTGGTGGCATTTGAGGCTGCATGTGCTATGTACTTGAGTTTGGAATATTCTAGAAGAGGAGGGAGCGAGCTTGCATGTGAGACGCTTTTTAGATTTGAGATTCTTTTCGGAAGATTTTTTCTTTGCTACAAAAAACTAAGAATCAAAGAGAACGCTAGAGATTGTTACAAGTACGCAATTAAAGCTTCAGAGCCTGATATTAGATTGGAGTTGGAACTAGAACGAGAAGCATTCGATAAGACAGTTGCTACTGTGAACGAGAACCACAGGGTTAAACTAAACAATATGTACTCGGTACAGATGATGCAACATTACTTGTCTGGTAATATAAAACGGATTATGATGCGATACGCTGCTATAAATCCCCCTTTGAAGCAAAAGGCTGAGTTTCTTCAGCCAGACCTTGCTGCTTGGAATCCAGTATCAATTGCGGGATTCGAAGGGCCGCCAAGAAGAACGAGTTATCAGAGTCTTTTGACAGACCAGCTTTTCATGAATTGTGAGCCGAAATTGTTTTTCATAGATGGCTCATTTATTGTGAACTTAAAAGTTAATAACTCCAACTACAATTTCACGGCCAAGTCTGCAAACTCGATTGAAGATGCTCTAATGTTGGCGAGTCAACGAGCTCAATGTGCGTTGCATTCGGACAAAGGAGCTCTCCTAGGCATGCAGAAAGACTTAACGTCCATGTTGCAATATCTAGCGGAAAACTGTAACGTGACCCTAGATGACCTTTCTGCAAGAGTTGACCAATTGGGACCTGACAAGTTCTCTGCGTCTGTAACCTTTAAAGGAATGGCAGTCCGTTCATTGGTACATCAAACCAAAAATGAGGCTTTACTTAATGTAGTGTCCCAGTGCTTCAGAGATGCAGTGAACAACCCGTAAAAAACCGAATCTATAAATTTTAGTTTGTTACTTAAAATCTGGAATTTAGTTTAGTTACTAACCAAAAACAATATGCAAACAATACAAAGGTGCAATCAAATTATTTCTGTTGAGCCAAATCTAAGTTTGATACTTGAACTTCATTTATATATCTCATATAAGGTCTCGATGATATATAATAAATAACATATTCATCTGGATGTGCTTATTTGAAATAGAAAAGAATCGCTTTTTAGCGTTAATTTATTTTTGTTTCCAAATGTTTTCGGGTACAATTTTATTTGTGTATATTGTTGTAACAAACGCGCACTTTTCACTTTGGTCGCTCGGCTTATGTAAAAGATTTTCGCAATTCTCCCACAATTTGCTAAGATGGAAAGATGGCTTTACTTCGTGTTATGCAAGCATTGAACTGAAACACAAGTTGGCTAAATAAAATATTAGAAAAGGTTCTGAATTGATTGTAATTCAATTTTACTGTCAAAAAGTGTCCCAACATGAAAAACTGTTTCAATTCAAGAACCTGCATAAATTTGGTTTTCACATTTTTTCGAGATGTCGATGGCTACTCAAAGCCTTCAAAAAATTCAACAATGAACTTTTTCGCTGCTGATGCAAGTTTTTGAGCTGGCATATAAATTAAGAACAGAACCTGATTTGAAGCTCTGATCTATCAAAGCTATTATTCAACTTAGATTGTTTAATAAAATTTGTTTGGTTCACATTAAATGAAGTTAGTTGTGGACAGTTTGTTTTGATAGCAGACAAAAGTATTCTATTTGGTTCTATGCGAAAGCAAGTATCTCAATGGTTTGTGTGAACCATCATTAATTACCGATATAAGAAGAGTTGTTAGTGAAATCACGAACAAGGTTTGTCAAACTTTTACTCTCTTTGGAGAAAAATGGGACCAATAGTGATAGAGGTTTACTAGGAATTGATCGGTTTCCTCCATTAAAATATCATGCCTCAGGGTGGGTGCTTTATGTGATAACACAGTTTCATTTTATTGTATCTTTTTTAGTAACAGTTCTTATGCGGTTCAAGCTCTTTCTGAAAAATTTTCGTGGAAAACACTATCATAGTTGTACCAAGAGTCGAATAGCAGAATCCCATAACCTTCAGGCTTCCGAATTTTTGAAATAATTGTTTCGATTGGTTTTTAAACTCAAAATGTGTTCATATACAGAAAAATTATTGCGATCTTCTCAAATTTCAGTTTTATTGTATGATCGGAGTTCGCTTTAATATCTCGCAACTTGGCCATCTTTTGCTATCGCTATCGAAGTCGAACTTAGAATTATTCTTCTGTCCAGACTTTTAAACATATCCTAGCAGAGATCCATAGACAGAGCCATGCCAGCTCCGCACTCCGGTCTGAATGACAAACTATCTGGAGTTAAGATGTACCTGGACGTGCCTGGATTCCAGTTCAACGATAGCATGGATCCGAATGCTCTCCAAGCAGTAGAAGAGGCACTCACCTGTTTCAAAGCGATTGTCTTGTTCAAGAATTACGAGATCAAAGGAGATGCTGACAGACTTCTGATATACCTCGTGCTATACATCCACAGGTAAAAAAACTGGAAAGTTCCAGATGTTTCGGGTTTATTATTTCTGATGCTGTCTGAAGTTTCATGCTTCTAACTCCTGTTTTAATGCATAGATGCCCATAATTGAACAGATGCTTTGAGTTAAAATGTTTTGAAAAGTGCATGTTGGAGATGTAACTGCAGACAGTTCGCCCATGTTTGAGATTAACCGAAAATCCGACCCCACCCTCATCGCTTTTAGAAGGGGTGGGGGTGAAATTACATTTTAAAACCAACCTACTGAAAACAAATCGGCAAGGTTTCGAATGAAGAATAGTCAGTCGGAAAAGCCAATTTCATCTCAATCTCTATCAACATATTGTGTGTGTTTCTGAAATGCATATTTTATACAGAAGTAGTTTTCAGAATTAATACATGCTTACGATGGTGTAGATTTTACGGTACGATACTCGGGTGGCGGGGGGGGGGGGTTTGTACGGTTCAATTAAAACTTTAGATCCTTCGAATCTCTCTGTACAGTTCTGGATGCGCAACTGTACTACTAAGTAGTCTCGTCGATTTAAAAATTGCGAGCCTGAAACCAATTTTTAGCTTGATGTTCAGTGTAATTATTTTGAGGTGTTGAATATTCATAGTTTTTTTGAAAATGATAAACTGAGTTGGTCAACATCAGTATATATTTTTTTTGAGTTGGGTTATAAATTTGTCATTTGATTATCATTCTGAATGTAGATGTCTGATGGAGCTGGGTCAGACTAAACCGAGCAAAGACGCGGCTGCCAAACAGCTGGAGACGCTGGCCATCCAGTGCACTGTCATCCCAGGAGACTCCTCATTCCCCCTGTCCGCCTTCTACAAGACTGGTAAATATAATTCAAGTCGAGCCCGTTGGCGGCCCGATAAACAGGGAATTTATTAAATATCGACCCGTTGGGGCCCGTTGCTGCTTTTTTGGTAAAAAACAAATTTGTTTCAAAACAATTTTAATTAATTGTTTTACTTATTTATAAAGACCTTTTTAAAAGCCATGGAAACCATTTCAATTGCCTCAACGGTTGTAGGCGAAAGTTTTGCCCGTCTTTCGGATACCGGCAGACCGCAATCAGAGTAAAGCCTCTCCGACTGCCCGGAACTGGCCTGCGTTCCAAGCACCTTTCGCGCAACTCTGGACAACAGTGGAAGCTTGTCAGAGTTCTTTCTCCAAAATTGAATAACATCTTAATCTGCAACTGCAATTGAGAGAGACTTGTATACTTCTATCGCAAATGCGCAAAGCCCGCTCGTCATATGCTATCTCGACCACAGGAATTGACTGATCTTCGGCAAAATTTTCGCGCATATCAGAAAAGAAATCTTGTTGTTGATTTGGAATTGTTGGCTCTACTCGGCGTCGGGTAACAGATGGTTCTTCGTCTGCGTTTAGCTTTAACTGACATATTTGTTCTAGTACCCATTTGTTTATGGTTTTTTCCGTAAATTCCAAGTCACTTGTTGAGCTTTTTGGCATGAATGAAAACGACCGGAATGAAGGGTCGAGGAAAGTACCAAGCCAATGGATTGCTTTAATGGACCCGTAAAACTTGTTGTTCAAACCATCCATAATGCAATGTTTCAGAACAAGTATTGGTTGTTCATCACCAGGAATACGCTTTAGCAGACTATGTAACTTGTAATAACACGAAATCTCTAGGTTTATTGTTGGCGAATCGGATGCCTCCAATTTCTTGAATACAAGACTGAAAGTTTTGTACAGAATGCTCACAGAGCGGTTAAGGTCCAGGTTAACAGCGGAAAGTAAATATAGTCTGTTGCGACCTGCCAATACTATTGCGAGTTCATCCTTGCTTTTCTCAATACTTGTACCCCGTTGTTCAGTTGCTGTCCAGCCGCGAGTTGCACAACCTGACTTAATCGTAATTGGCAGTTGCTCCTGCAATCCCACCGAAGTCCTACAGTAAGGTACTAGCTCAGATGCAGACGTGCTGTACTCTTTTAATTCTGGCGACTTGAGATTTGCTTCCTTCCAGCCATCACAGAGGACATAGTTCAAGCGATGGCACATGCAGTCAAATCGTGCTTCTTGTTTGAAAGCACAAACAATGTTAGAGCCTCGATCTGTTGTAACGGCAATATCTTCACGAGCAAGTTGATACTCCTGCAATATGGGATTAATTGCCGCTGTAATGTTGGCGGCGTTGTGACTCTCACTTCCGAAGTGTTTAAGACCCAACAATGTGTTCTTCATCACAAATTCCTTTGTTATCCAAAATGCATTAACATCAATGTACGACAGTTTTCGGTAATCGTCGCAGGTAAGAGACACACAATCGGACGCAGCAGTCTCAGAAATAATATCCGCAATTTTTGATGTGACTTTAGTGACCTCCCCTTTGAGGCAACTAGCAACTGTATTTCTGCCGAACAGATGGGGTTTGATGTCAAACTTACCATGTTTTGAACCCAAATTCACCATTCCTTGCAACAATTCGACTAGACCTGGTCCCTCAGTAGAGTTGAACGAATGGTGACCAAGAAACACGTGTTTCATTTCTAATAACTTTAAGGAGTCTTTTTCAGCGTTGGTCAGTGTCACTGTTTTGTTTAAATACTGGTTCATTGCGCCCGTTACTTTCTTTGTAATACAACCGTCCACATGTCGTTTTAAATGCGATGTGCCACTTTTTGTACTGTAAGACAGAACACTTTCGCACTTATGGCAGCAGCACAAATTTTGAAAAATGAATCCAGAGGCGACAACTTTCACAAGTTTAAATGTCTTCCAGACTTCGGATTTGAAGTGCTTTGTGGTGCCCACAGAGTCTTCTTCCACAAATGCAAAGATTTCGTGCTTCGTGTCACGTCGAATTTGTTTCTGCAGTGAATCGGCAGTGAACGTAGTAGTCATGTCGTTTAGCACACTGCAAGCTGTACAGTGCGCACTGAAACATAACATTAGTTAGTCAATAAAAGTAAGGCCCGTTGGGGCCCGTTGACAAAAGTGAAAACCTCGGCCCGGCCCGGCCCGTTGAGGCCCACGGGCGGCCCGGCCCGTTGACAAGTATGTATCGGGCCGAAGCCCTTTATGTTCCGACTCCGTTTTAAGGCAAATTAACGAGTTTTAAAGAGATAGTATAAAATTACCGTAAAATCAAATAGTTAAAAAAATCAAAAAATGGTTTAGTTCAAAATCCACTCCTAGCATAATCATTCTGCAATTTCTTTGAAAGTCAGAACAAAATAATGTCACATATGTTTTGATAATATCCCAGATAAAATAACGACATTTTTTCTCAATTGAGCTTAATAAGTTTTATTGTGTACACTGACACGTCTGCGAGCGTACTATATTAATACGAACCATCTTTTTTCCAACCTAACTCGCAAATAAAAGTGTTCATTAAAAGTGTTCACTCATGTGATTGAACTTTTGCTATAATTACGATCTGTAGCATTGGAAATTTCATCGCATGTGTTATCTGCTTTTTTGTGGCTAGTGTAACCGAATTGTTGTGGCCGAATTCTTACTATTTTGAAGCTTATTTATACTTTTTCTTTATAGGGCTGCTTTTTTTGTGCTGTCGCTAGTGTTTGCGAAACACAGCTTCGTCGCTGTGTTGTTAATTACGCTTCCGAATTTTTAACCTTATTGAAAATTTCTAGTTTTTTGTAAGCAAGTTAGTTAATTTTTAAAATGTTTTCCTATGCGAGTATTTGATGTTGCTGAATATATATGAGTCCTTACTTCTCAAGGATGGGAGTTCTTAGCCCAAAAAATAATCCAGAATTTTTCGTCAAAGATTCCTAAAAGATAATTTGGTGGTTCGCCGTAAAAAACTGACTCATCTCGATCCGAGCATAGAAGATCAAAAAAGTAGCAATGTTGCGGATTGTGCGACAAATCTGATTTTGGCTTTTTGCGGATTCCGCTTACAATGCAGAGAATGAACAGTTTGGCCTCGTAATGTCACTAGTCCTTTCCATCATGTTAAAATGATCCTTGTCTTTTATTAGGCTACCCTGGTGACTTCTCACAGTACATGGAGAGACTTAGGAAGGAGACGAACAAGAGGCTGATTGAGAAAGTGTACCTGGAGTCGCCCTCTGCTCCTAGCAAGTGGTGGCTCGCATTCGCCAAGAGGAAGTTCATGAACCAACAGTTGAAGAACTCACGCATGTAGATTACACAACAGAACATTATTGTATTATATTCAGTTGCAAAAAAGTTTCGACTGATGAGTATATTTGAACGAGCAATTAACTGGTTCCGAAAAATCCACTTTTTCACATAATCCATTTTCACATAATCTATTATTGAGAATTTCACAAATTTTTAACAAGAATTTGATCAAGAAAGGCGAATTGCTCTTTAATCATTTTGTATGTCCGAACTTTTTGCAACTCTGTATAGCTCGTTGCAAATTTATTGTCCTATCTTTAAAAAAAAAATTGAATTCCAATCTGAACTTTTGGACTATTTTCTGCAGTTTTATTTTCGATAGCCTATTTCGCGATTCTTCAATAAATAAAATTGAGCGACGATCCTTTAACTATCGATGACAAATATGCTTGTCACTACTATCTGCTCACCCAGATACAGAAATTTGCATGAAATTGGCATAAAAGAAATTAGTTAGAAAGAGTTATTGAATGGATTTTTCAAACCTTATGCAAATAATTGAGGTGAAAACAAAGACAAAGGCTAGAGTAAGATCAGCTGCTAGAATAAATTTGGTTGGTCTTTTTTTCCGAACCAATTTTTTGGCAATTATTCAAATCTGATGATACTTTAAGCTCAACTGCCTTGAGTTATACACAAGAAATCAAAGTGAAGCGAAAAAGCTGTTGATACTAAAAGGTTGGAAAAAATTTGTAACCGGTATAGTTGATGTTAAGTTCAGTTGGAAATTAACTTGCTTTCAATAGTCTATACGTTGTAATCGATTGATAAAATTATGTTTTAATCGACTCTGGCTGAATTGTTTGATACGTTGATTTATGATTTAAAGCTTAAAATAATTGAAAATAGTTTTTATATTGTTAATTGAATTTCGAGCTTATTTGTAAATGCGGAAGTAGACGGTGGAGCAGTAGCGTTCATGTCAGCAGGTTAAGGTTCGTTGTAATTACACAAGCGTGCTTGCGAGAGTAGTGTTAGTAGATCAGTCCAATTTTTTGTGTTATAAGACTAATCTCGCGCGTTTGCATGTAAAGTTGAAGTGAAACTATTAACGTCGGAGGGTTCGCTTTCAAAAAGGGAAAATTTGAATAGTTGGTAGAATTGGAGAATAGTCCTTTCTGTAAGCTATTTAGAAGAAGTTTAATCTAGATTCTTCCATATAGTTTCGTCTAGCATGTGTCAAATTTTCAATCCCTGTTTTCAAATGATTGCAAAAAATGACTGAAATGTGAAGAAAAAAGTTGTTGGTTGTAATCAAACTGTTGAAACGCCTTTGTCCAATGACTTATTGAGTCATCTGCATATAGTGTTTGAATAATTTTTCCTCAGACCAGCTCTCACTTGGTAAAAACGTTTGCGCAAAATTGCAATCTCAAATCATTAAGCTCTTGATTTTGAATTTAAATTATTTCACACGTGATCATTCTTATGAAATTATGGAACTTGAACATTGACAATTTGGGAGTTTTATTGGACAATATGCTTCGTGGTTTGGCTGTTTGTTTCACAGGAAGATATTTTAAGTTTTCTTGGTGTGTTTTAAAATGGGGAAACACGCTGAAAGTGAATACCTCAGAAAACACATCTGTATTTACACAAGCAAAGCTTGTGTGATAGTAAGAACTCTCTTTTCTTTCAAATCTAAGTCGCAAAAAATACTGTTCAATTCAGTTAAAAGTAAGGCAATACTAAGGATATCAACAGAGACTATTATAATACAAAAAGCACTTAAGCTGCAAGGTATCATGGATCTGTAACGCAGAGGTAGGGAAGGAGTCCCGAAACAAAATAATAGGGTTCGAATCTGGGTAGAATGTTTTTAATGAACCTTTTCGTGTACTAGTTAAAACGTGCCCGCTCTATAAACTGCGGAATGTTAGTTGGTAAATTTCTTTTTTCAAATTTACTGGTAATGCTAATGCGTCATAATTGGCTTGCGCCACTTACCAATTATGTAGACTCATTATTGGCGTGCGTCACTTCAGAAATCTTGTAGACAGATTTTTTTTATTTCACTCAGTTTTGTGTATGCGAAGTACAACTTAGCCTTTGTGTATCAAGTATGGCTGTCGTATTAAAACTTATTGATTGTTAAAGTTTTGTTCTGAATAGTAAAAATTTTCTTGGTGTTTTTTAAATAGAGAAACACAAGCTCAAAGTGAATACCTCAGAGAACACATCTGTATTATCAAGTATGGCTGTCGTAAAAAAACTTAATGATAGGTTTAAAAATATTAAGATAAAGTTGTTCAATAATGAGAAAAACTGCCGTGATTTTTTACAATTATTCCAACGGAAATTATACACGGATTAATTTTATCGCACAATATTTTTCAAGCAACGAGTAACCATTTTGTAGCGTTTTTATTATTTCAGTCGCCCTGTCATTTTTTTCAAAAAAAGAGAGTTTTTTATGTTAATTTCAACTCAATGTCCAGTGGTCACAATGACAGAGCGAGCTATTTGCACAGCAATCGTGTTTTTATTCTTGTTTTTGGAAAGTTTTCGGTTGTTGTCAGTGGTCGGAAGCTACTAAACGATTTCTACAGAAACTGACTAAACTTAATGGGTATGTGGAAATTTGACATCTGATTTGTTGAACGCTTGAAAAGAGGCAAGGGAAGCAAAAAATTGAAGATATAAATGCTGGAGGTTCTCTTTCAAATAGATATCCTTACGCTTGCGATTAGCAAGCGTTATCACACTGGAAAATGTTGATCACACTGGTGATCGGTATCAGATTTTTCGGCTCAACAACTTTCGGCTCGCTTGTTTATTGGTTCATAATGAATTCAAACTTTTTTACGTTCCTGGCCAACTTAGCCTGTAGTTTACGAATATGCCTGGGACGTCAAGGAATCTGAACAGGATCTATTTTTTGTTCAAACGCGAAATGTTCTGTTTTAAATAAAATACCGGCACATGTTGAAATCGTTTTTTTTATGCTGCCCGAATTTTTTAAATGCTGCTTTAATTGTTTGATTGATTCAAACAAAATGTAATTTAAATACCTTGACTTCGTATTTCCTTTTTTGTTTTTTCAATTCGCTAAAAAAATTCATCGGCCCAAATTATTTGGGCGTATTTTTTATCAGCTTAATAACCTGTTTTGGGTAGTTTTAATGGAAACACAATTTGGACACTCCACTCCGCACTTTTCATCTTAGTTGTATGTTAACCAATCGGCTTGATGAATTTTCTTTTTTTTTCATTATGAATAGTTATTTCCAATTTCCTTTAAAAAAATATAGTTTTCCTCAAAAACTTCTTCTGATTTCAAAAAGTGGTAACAATTGAAAGACCTCTCACTCCTTTGTGTGCCTTTATACACCCTTAGAGTCTCTTTTTACTTGAACCCTCTGTCAACAGCCGTCGAAAATGTCTGTAGAGGAATATTTGACTCAAATGTTTGATTTTTTTTGCGTTTACTCAATAAACACTCCTCTCAAGTCTGATTTTGCAAATCTGATGGAAAAAATGGCTTCAAGAAATTCCCTGCATGTGTGCCATTCTGCCGGATGACACAGCATAACCTTCCCGCGACAGAAAAAAAAGTGACTAAAGGCCTTATGAACAAAAAAGTGTTGCGACGGAGGGTCAGAATGTTCTAGAATTTTTATTTTTAAAATTTCGATTGGAAGAAGAACATTTCTGAGAAATAGAAAAAAGACGGCCATTTTGAATAAAAAAGACGAAAATCAGAACGACGCCATATTTTGTGAAGAACAGTTGTATCAGAGACAGAAAAACACGGAGCCTCTTATCGTGGCAAGAACACACGATAAGGACCTTAGCGACAGATATTTGTGGAGACGGAGGCTTCAGTGGGGGGAAGAGAAATACCACGGAACCCTCCCGGGACACGAAATATAGGAGATAAGAGTGTTATCTCAAGAAAATCACGGGAGCGGAGGCTTGGTCCCCCAGAGACTGTTATATGTGAAGGGACTGTGAAAACTGACTATAACAGCTGCTGTAATGTCCTAGATCTTAATTAACACCGTTATTATTTAATATTTCAGAGCATGAGTAGATAGAAAGAGGAAAGGGTCAATCCATCTCCAATGGAATTAATGTAAAACTGTCACACAAAACATAATAAAATAGGTTGTTCGAGCCGTGTTTTTAATGACAATCACGTAGTCTGAGGATCCGAGACTCAGCTATGTGGTTGTGTTCGCATGCAAACGAAAGCTGATCAAAAGTCGTTTGACTGATGGCCTAAAAATGGTAACTTTTTACTTTGCCCTAAACAGACCAGAAAATCAACTGGCAAGGTCGAGACGGTGAAAAACGAGTAGAATTAAGGTAACTGACGCCTGCCAGTCGTTGATAGGTACTTTTTCTACGCTCCGTCGCTGTGTGATATTTGGGCGAATGTTACATAGACGTTTTTATGGCGCTCCTGGGTGGGCCTGTTAAAGGCATGAAACCATCATGATCAGCAAGCGTTTCAGCGACGTACCCTCCGCTCCGGGCGTAAGCCCGAGTTAGAGGCCTTAATGACCGTTGTTGTACTAGGGGGAAGGTGCGTACCCTCCGTCTAGTGCAATTTAGCTTTTTAACTTAGTTAACACCGAAAATTCCGGGGGCCGGAGGGTTAGGTGGGAAATCTAGAGCCCGCTTGTCCTGAGGTCCCAGGACCAAAAACAATTAAAGAGAAAGCGTAAAACCAAACAAAAATAGTGTATAACCAAGAAAAAGCCAAAAACAAATTTATTTAAAAACAAAAAAGTACAAAAAACAGTAAAAAAAAAAAAATCCAAAAAAGACCAAAAACAGTAAAAAACATAAAGTGACAGTTTATATGTTATTTCCGGACGAGATGTGATCTGACCTTCCTATTTGTTGTTGTTTCAGATTGATTTATATCGTTTCTGATAGAGAGATTGTGTGTTTTGGTGAAGGGTTGGGTACCCTCCCTCGAGTGTAATTTGAGTGTTTAAGCACGTTAATGGTGATTTTGCCGGTGACCGGAGGGTAGAGTGGCAGGCTGATCAACGTGTTCCACACTCAACAGGGACATCAAGGACAACATCCGCAACGACTGTTGGGTATCGTTGAAGCAATTTTAGTATCGTTCGGGTACTATTTCCTTAAAACTTAAGTGGTGGGGGGCACGATTGGCGCGGTCCGATTGTACCCTCCAT